TATATATATATATATATATATATATATATATATATATATATATATATATATATATATATATATATATATATATATATATATATATATATATATATATATATATATATATATATATATATATATATATATATATATGTTATATGTCTAAATATGGTTAGACGACAAAATGGTCCAATGTAATATATCTCAGACTGTGCGTTTTTGTGAATATATGTGTAAGTATTTGTGTAAGTATGTGTAAATGTGAGTACAAAAGCATAAGTATATGTAAATGTACGTATATATGTGTGAATGTGTAAGTGTATATGTACATTGGCCAGCCATGAAGGGGGTACTCACGAACACACCGAGGTTTCTCCTCACTCCACGTCCCATCATAAAGGCACGTGGTGGCGTCGCTGCCCGATATCTGGTAGTTGCCGTAGCACCGATAGCTGCAGGTGCTGCCGTACAAGTTGTGGCTGGTGCAGGATGTATTGCCGTTGGGGATGTAGTAAATGCTGCATGTGTTGACTGAAGACGTCGGACACTTCAAGACTAGAGAGAATAAGGCACCCCTTTCATCTCATATCATGGGCTCACAGCAATAGAGTGTGTGGGAGTATTTGAAGCGTCAAGCTAATGTCAATCTCTTTAAAATAATAACACCCACAAAAATATCAAGTACATACACAAATTTGAACCTAACTGACCACATAGACTTGACCAACGCAACCCGAGAAGTTACCACGAACCAAAAAATTACAATGAACCAGAAAAAAGTTACCTTGAACCCTGAAGGTAATGTTGCAATAAACCGCATAACCGGCATTGTCCTTCGCTTCATACGACACGACGTAGGTGTTTTCTGTCAAGGCGGTGCCAGACTGGGGGCCGGTCGTCTGTCGCACCCTGAGGGAAAAGTTTGTAACAAACTGACCACAGACTTGACAAACTGACCACAGACTTGACAAACTGACCACAGACTTGATAAACTGACCACAGACTTGACAAACTGACCACAGACTTGACAAACTGACCACCGACTTGATAAACTGACCACCGACTTGATAAACTGACCACAGACTTGATAAACTGACCACCGACTTGATAAACTGACCACCGACTTGATAAACTGACCACAGACTTGATAAACTGACCACAGACTTGATAAACTGACCACCGACTTGATAAACTGACCACAGACTTGATAAACTGACCACCGACTTGATAAACTGACCACAGACTTGATAAACTGACCACCGACTTGATAAACTGACCACAGACTTGACAAACTGACCACAGACTTGATAAACTGACCACCGACTTGATAAACTCTTGATAAACTGACCACCGACTTGATAAACTGACCACCGACTTGATAAACTGACCACAGACTTGATAAACTGACCACAGACTTGATAAACTGACCACAGACTTGATAAACTGACCACAGACTTGACAAACTGACCACAGAACTGATAAACTGACCACAGACTTGACAAACTGACCACAGAACTGATAAACTGACCACAGACTTGACAAACTGACCACAGATTTGACAAACTGACCACAGAACTGATAAACTGACCACAGATTTGACAAACTGACCACAGAACTGATAAACTGACCACAGATTTGACAAACTGACCACAGAACTGATAAACTGACCACAGACTTGATAAACTGACCACAGACTTGACAAACTGACCACAGACTTGATAAACTGACCACAGACTTGACAAACTGACCACAGAACTGATAAACTGACCACAGACTTGATAAACTAACCACAGACTTGACAAACTGACCACAGACTTGATAAACTGACCACAGACTTGACAAACTGACCACAGAACTGATAAACTGACCACAGACTTGACAAACTGACCACAGATTTGACAAACTAACCACAGAACTGATAAACTGACCACAGACTTGACAAACTGACCACAGACTTCATAAACTGACCACAGACTTGATAAATTAACCACAGAGCTGAGTTATTATAGACTGTACCTTAGCGGACCGTCTTCTGGATCTGTGGCGTTGGCAGGCTTCCATCGGACTATCTGTAGGAAGATTAGATTAGTAGCAAACTAGCTTAGGCTAGACAAGGTGTTATCATTACACGCTGTTTATTCTTGTCATTTTAATTATGATTTAAGACTTGAAACTAAAAATAAAGATATATAATACTGCAGAGATAACTTCTAATTTATGAATGAAAAAGTTTCTTTGAATGACTAAGTCCTGAGTAAAGGTACAATATAACGCACAGCATTTTGTATAGAGCAGTAGCGTAGCGAGAGGGGGGGGGCGGGGGGGGGACATATGTCCCCGGGCGCCGACCTTAGGGGGGGGGCGCCAAATTGAAAGTTTGAGGGGGGGTGCAAATGAAAAGTTCGAGGGGGGGGGTGTGCAAATCGAAAGTTTGAGGGGGGGGGTGCAAATGAAAAGTTCAAGGGGAGGGGGGTGCAAATCGAAAATTTGCTCCCAAGGGGGCGCCAAATTGAAAGTATGTCCCCGGGCGCCGGGAAGGGTCGCTACGCCTCTGGTATAGCGACAAAACTATAGAGACCAGACGTTGATACTTTTTATTAACCACATCCACATTTCCACCTATGACGGGGGGGGGGGGGAAGAAGATTTTCTCGTAAATGATAAACCTTGATACGCTGTTTGTATTATAGGGCCTACCCTCAGATTTTGATTAACATACTAAAACGAGAAAAATGGCCCGTTGAGGAAGGATACAACGGGCGCTAGGTTGATAGTGCTGTCTATTTTCTCGGTACTTTAATTTATACAAAATATAGTCATAGGCATATCCCTAAACCATGCACCTAATCTCATTCATGACAAAAGTCGCATTTAGAGTTTCTTTCAGGCAACTCTACTTGGGAGGAGGGGGCTTCGCCCCCCCCCCCCCCCCCCTCTTTCCCCCCCCCCCCCCCCCCCCACACACACAACCTCCAAAACATGTCTACTGTCCCATTCAACGAAATATAATTATATACTTTTTCCAGTGTCCGCACCCTCCCAGAAAATTCTACCCCCGCCCCCGAAAATTTCAAGTACCCCCACCCCTCTCCGGGGAGTAAAAAGTCTGAAAGAAACACTGGTCGCATTTGTAGATCATACAAACTAAAGGAAGAATCTGGGCGGGGCTTCGCCCCTACCGGAAGAGATGCTTGAAAAAAAAAGCTGCACGCTAAACACTATTTAGATTAGAAAAAGTTCCCCCCCCCCCCTCCGGGGAGGAAAAAGTCTGAAAGAAACACTGGTGTCGCGCTTAGCCACTACGCGAAGAATTGCATTAAAGGAATTACAAGAAAACCACTTTTTAGATTAGACACATTAATTAGGCGGTAATTTTATTATAGAGTATCGATGAGGAAATTTCTTTTGAGTTGGGGAGGGGGGGGGGGGGGGGGCTCAGACGTTCTTACGCGTGGGTGGGGCTTCGCCCCTACCCGAAGAATTGTATGAAATAAACTCTTCACGCAAACCACTTAGATTAGACAAAATTGCATTTTTATTCAATGTTTACTCGAGAATCAATGACATCATATTACTGTGATCACTCTCCGGCTTGATATTATTTTCTACTATATGACGTCATATTTCGTTTCCGTCTGACTGTGCATGTTTTTAAATTGCTTGTGTTTTCTCTAGAGCGTTCTTGTCAGACAGATAGATAGATAGATACACAGACAGCGAAACTATTAGTATTAATAATATATATATATATATATATATATATATATATATATATATATATATATATATATATATCAAATAGTCCGTGTAAAATTGAAAAAACTATACTCTGTGCAGATACTGGTTAAAATTCTACTATGTGCTACGTCAGCGAGTGTTCACATCACGTCGACTAAGAAACCTTTTTTCTTTTCATCTCCATCTGCACGCAGTAGGTCATTGAACTGACCTTTGTATCCATCTACAAGCAGTAGGTCATTGAACTGACCTTTGAATCCATCTACACGCAGTAGGTCATTGAACTGACCTTTGTATCCATCTACAAGCAGTAGGTCATTGAACTGACCTTTGTATCCATCTCCGACTCGGCAACTTGGTCAGGTATGACGGGGCAGTAGATCTCCGGCAAGTAGTTCCTGCGGTCTGAAATACAGCCTACACTGTACACACTCAATTGGTACATGCACATGACATTACCCCGCCCACACTTCAAAACGCGACATTTAGACATTGCCCTAACCCTAATTCTGATCCTAACCCTAATCCTGAACGTAACCCTAATCCTAATCCTGATCCTAACCCTAATCCTAATCCTACCCCTAATCCTGATCCTAACTCTAATCCTGATCCTAACCCTTATCCTGATCCTAACCCTAATCCTGATCCTAACACTAATCCTGATCCTAACCCTTATCCTGATCCTAACCCTAATCCTGATCCTAACCCTAATCCTGATCCTAACCCTAACACTAATCCTGATCCTAACCCTTATCCTGATCATAACACTAATCCTGATCCTAACCCTTACCCTGATCCTAACCCTAATCCTGATCTTAACCCTAATCCTGATCCTAACCCTAATCCTGATCCTAACACTAGTCCTGATCCTAACCCTTATCCTGATCCTAATCCTAAACCTGATCCTAACCCTAATCCCGATCCTAACCCTAATCCTGATCCTAACCCTAATCCTGATCATATTACTTACCTTGATCCTAAGCCTAATTCTCATCCTAACCCTAATCCTGATCCTAACCCTAATCCTGATCATATTACTTACCTTGATCCTGACCATAATTCTCCTCCTAACCCTAATCCTGATCCTAACCCTAGGGAGGATATGGCAGTTGAAGGAAGGGAGTGGGGAAAGGTAATGCCATTATGTGTGTCAGTGTATATCTGTGTATGTGTGTCAGTGTATATCTGTGTATGTGTGTCAGTGTATATATGTGTATGTGTGTCAATGTATATCTGTGTATGTGTGTCAGTGTATATCTGTGTATGTGTGTCAATGTATATCTGTGTATGTGTGTCAGTGTATATCTGTGTATGTGTGTCAGTGTATATCTGTGTATGTGTGTCAATGTATATCTGTGTATGTGTGTCTATGTATATCTGTGTATGTGTGTCAGTGTATATCTGTGTATGTGTGTCTATGTATATCTGTGTATGTGTGTCAATGTATATCTGTGTATGTGTGTCTATGTATATCTGTGTATGTGTGTCAGTGTATATCTGTGTATGTGTGTCAATGTATATATGTGTATGTGTGTCAGTGTATATCTGTGTATGTGTGTCAATGTATATCTGTGTATGTGTGTCAGTGTATATCTGTGTATGTGTGTCAATGTATATCTGTGTATGTGTGTCAGTGTATATATGTGCATGTATGTGCCAGAGTCTGTGTGTGTTTATGAAAATGTCTATTTATGTTTTTGTATGTCTGTATGTGTGTAGGTTTGTGTCCGTCTATTCGTGTGTATGTCTATGTTTGTGTATGTTTGTATGTTTGTCTGTATGTCCGTGCTTACAATTGGTCCAGCAGGACCAGCTACAGGACCACCAGAACCACCAGCCGCTGCAACTCTCCCCACACCTTTGTTCTGGAATGTCAACATACGACCTTTTCTTTCTCAGCCGCCCGTAGCCGCTGTCAAACGTTACGCTCTGTGTTTGATCATTCAAGGTGCCTGGAACACAAGGCGTTCTTTGGTCAACACTTCGCACAATTAGTATGTCACGTGATGTCCGTTATCCTACCCACCCAACCCCCACCCAACCCCCCCAACCCCCACCCAACCCCCACCCAACCCCCACCCAACCCTAGAGAGCACAGTCATGTTGGTCTGCTTGTGAACAAGATGAAAGCAATATTTCCTTACTATGCAAAATTGGTTGATTTAAATAACAACTAGAGTGTTTTAAAAATAGAATAAAAATAATAATCTGAAAACTGCAATTTGTTGAAGACAAATTGAAAATCAGATTAACTAATGACGTCATATCTCTCTAGTATTTAAGTCGTGCTGACCTCTTCCCCCCCCCCCCCCCCCACACACACATATTTCCTCCTTTCAACATCTAAATATAGCCTAGCCTATTGACCTAGTTTAATCCAGACTCCAGCCCTGCACTTAAAGATGGGTGAGAAGGCGATGTTCGGATCTAGAGCACATCCTGTTCCATGCATGACTTCCTGTTCCCCGTCCGCCCCGAGACGTGAGAAAGTATTCGTGTCCCGCCCACAGCCAGCTGGGTCGTCAGACTTGCAGACGACAGACTTCTGACGTCTGCGAGCAGAAACATTATTTACGTAACTGTTTAGAGTTTCATTCAACATTTTCATTTTTAGGAAGGCCTTTTGTCTTGTTTTTTTTTAAAAATAATTTAAATAATTTAGACATTCAATATAAGTTCTCTTCTAACGTCGTGTATACTAACTCTGTTTACGTCGTGTCTATTAACTCTGCTAACGTCGTATATACTTACTCTGCTAACGTCGTATATACTAACTCTGCTAACATCGTGTCTACTACCTCTGCTAACGTCGTGTCTACTAACTCTGCTAACGTCGTGTCTACTTACTGGGCTAGCTGCGTCTCATCGCTCTGTGAGTACAGTTCTTGCTCTACGGCACCCTCCAACTGGTGTGGGGCGATACAGTGAGCAAGTTCCATCGAGGGCTTGAGGGTACATCCCTAGAAGGGTGAATAGTGGGATCATCTTGGCCAGAGTAGAACAATGTGCCGCGTGGGGATTATGTCTGCCTTATCTAGGTGTCAGTCTTTGTCGTCTCTTTGTGTCATCTCTTTGTGTCTTCTCTTTGTGTCATCTCTTTGTGTCTTCTCTTTGTGTCGTCTCTTTGTGCCGTATCTCTCTTTGTGTCGTCTCTTTGTTTTATCTCTTTGTGTCGTATCTCTCTTTGTGTCTTCTCTTTGTGTCTTCTCTTTGTGTCTTCTCTTTGTGTCTTCTCTTTGTGTCGTCTCTTTGTGTTGTTTCTTTGTGTCGTATCTCTCTTTGTGTCGTGTATTTGTGTCGTCTCCATGACGTAGATTTGTCTCATTTGGTGCCTACTGAACCTGGCTGAGTATCCATGGATTTAGATACAAATAGAATACTCGTCATTCCTTAGATAACTGTGGGTTTCGGGGGGTCATCCATAAAAAAACATCACGTCTGTCCCTTATCATCACAAAAAACCAGACCCCACATTCAAAAAGACGTTTTTTATCTTTTGAAAACACCGATTTCGGACTATCCCTTCTCTACTTCACCTGCCCAGTGTCCCGCCAAGTCTCAGACATGTTTTTATCGTTTGTAAAAAACGATTCCAGCCAAGCATGTCTCTGACCACACTATCCCTTCATATGCTTAGGACAAAGAAACAGATGAACTCTACTTCACCTGCCCTGTATCCCGCCAAGTTCAGATAGGCAACTTTATCATTCACATCTAAACAATTTTCAAAAATTGAAAAAAAAAATTAACATTGACGTATTGGTCTAGAATCCGTGCCACCCGCACAAACGCCGTTTACACCAACTTAGCTATTTAACTCGTGACGTCACAGATGTATTTTTATACTATAGTTTAATACTTTGAGTCAGTGGCGTAGCGAGGTCGGGTGTCACCCGGTGCGGCACTTAATGGTGTCACCCCACAGAGGCGTTGCGACCCTTCCCGGGGACAAACTTTCAAGTTTTCGATTTGCACCCCCCCCCCCCTCAAATTTTTCTCTATATATTTTGCTATTTTTGCCTTGGTGTCATCCCCCTAAATGGTGTTGCCCGTTGCGGTCCGCACCCCCGCCCCCCCCCCCCCCTCGCTACGCCCCTGCTTTGAGTTTCCTTGTGCAACTTGATTTACGCGCATAGATCTAGATCTAAATCTAGTAGTAACTTTCAAATTAAATTTTATCTTTAAATTAGCCAATAACATAGCTAAACAAAGATTTATATAAAATAATGAAGGTCTGAAATTATCTAGATCTAGATATAATTGTTTAGATCTAGATTCTACGACTCGTTTGCTTAAGTCTTGAGTCTAGTTTATGCGTAACTCTTGACTCTTGATAGATCTAGATCTAGATCTAGATTTAGATCTAATCATTAGACATATTCTAGCTAGATCTAGATCTAGATAGATAAATCACAAAGATTTATATCATATATTTAAGGACTAAATAATGTATTATGATTATAAAATGGATTGTATTTTTATCTAATTAATCTTTGGTTTGTATCTAATTAATCTTTGGTTTGACCTAGATTCTAGATCTAGATCTATAAATAACTTTCTTGGCCACCTGATATTTAGATCTATAAATAAATATATAACTTTCTTGGACAGATTGTAGAGCTAGAGAAATTTATTGTAAAACTAAATGAAAAAGACAGTTGAAAATTTATATAATTGTTGGAACGTAATAAAAACAGCAAACGAACGTATTGTTAAAGTTATGGCCGACAGAAAATTAGCTTTAGAACGCGTTAAATTTTTGAATGGGCCACAAAGTCTATGATGGAAGCCGCCATCTTATCTCTATACTACTAAAACTCAAGTTTGTTTACATATTTGAATATTTATTTGTTTTTTTTTGTTTGTTTGTTTTTTGTTTGTCTGATTGGATACTGGAGAGAATCGGCACTAGGGGAAGAGCTGTAAAATAGTATGTAGTTAGAGAACAACTTTTGTTTGCAGACAGACTGTTAATCACAAATTTATTTTAAGACGTTAATTAATTTATTGATTTATTCATTGGTAGATTAACCACATTAAAATTACATTTTTAAACAATGGCTTTATCTTGACTGAATATATATATATATATATATATATATATATATATATATATATATATATATATATATATATATATATATATATATATATATATATATTTATATAAAGACTACATTTTTATTTGGGGGGGGTAGTGCCACCATGAGTTGCCGCACCGGGAGACACCCGACCTTGCGACGCCTCTGCAACAAAGCAAAACCTGCCACAGCGCTACAGTAAAATGTTCAGTAAATAAACATTGGCTATTGTTTCTATACAGCGCATATCATCAAGTTGAATTACACTTGTATCACGTGTGCATCCCCTACTTCTCACCTATACATCACCATTGTATCACGCATGTATTACTTACATATCACATACATATCACTTATGTATGAAGTTGTGGTTACCTTTTGATGAAGATTGTCCTGTGCCTGTGCTGAGAGAATGGAAGCAGCGGACAACCACACACACCACCACAACGTCCTGGCTTCCATCAGATTTCAAATGCTCTGCTGCTAGTTGTTTATTTCACCTGACGACACTAAGTGTTTATCTCTAAGTGTTCATCACTGTTTATCCTAACTCAACTTGCACCTCGTTACGTTAACACGAATAGCGTAAAGTGATATTATGACATTACTTTTTTTTTTAATTATAGTTTTTGTAGTCAATATTGAAATTCCCAAAGCCTTTGAATAAAATATTTATTTCAATGGCCTAAGCCGAATGATCTACTTAACGCTAAGCATGAAGCAGAGATGTGGCGTACTGCTGTTGGTAGCTAGCCTAACTATATACCATGTCAGTAACTAGGCTGACGTCAGTAACTAGGATGACGTCAGGTTGGCAGGTAACGGCGACACCTTATTACCACATCAATGAACCGTTTCTAACATTTTTTCTTTCTTTAGAAATTTTCTGGTCGACCCCCCCCCCCTCGTAAATGACCATATGGAGAAAATGGGGGTGGGATTAAAGTATGCGGGGGAATGAAATTCTTGGAATTGTATATTTATATTTATATATTCACCTTTATATTGCAGTGATTCTAAAATCTTGATAAAACCGGGTATCATCAATTCTCCAATGATCTAAGGTAAAAGACAAATGTAACCAAAGGTTTTAGTAGAGAGAAAGTCTTTAATACCAAGAGACAGTACGCAGGCTGCACTCAGTTCCAGTTTTTCTTCCAGGCATCTCTTCGGGGGGAGGGGGGGGGGCTCTATAGAGAAAATATATACTTTTAACAGTGTCCGCCCCCCCCCCCCCCTAATAAAAAGTCTATCCCCCCTTTCCCCCCCCCCCCCCGAAAATTTCAAGTGCAAAAAAGTCTGGAAGAAACACTGCTCAGCTCTACAAATTGTTTCCACAGCAAGCACCACGCCTGGACCTACCAACAAGTCTGGATCTCTGTAGCTACATATACAGACTTGCTTTGTTTCAATCAAATCATTAGACTAAAAACAATCAATTTCCTGGACAACGGACAGCTGCACATTTTGACGACCACTCACCTCAGTGAGGTAGAACATGATTAGAACCGTTCGATTTTCAAAGCACTTTATGAAAAAAATCCCAATTACACCGATTGACCTTTCACGTCCAGGAATCTGAGACGGAACTTCATATGAGACCCTACCTGGAAACACCTGGCCTCATAGAGACCCTACCTGGAAACACCTGGCCTCATAGAGACCCTACCTGGAAACACCTGGCCTCATAGAGACCCTACCTGGAAACACCTGGCCTAGTTGTGGACCCACATATGCAAGTTGTCACGTAATGGCAACATGATCAAACTTTGGCACGTCTCGCAACACAGGAGGGGGGGGGGGGGTATCCGTGCTGACAATCGGAAAATTTCAACCTTGAAAAGAGGTTACAAAATGTAATGCACTTAGTGGTTACCCACGAGTCTAGCTGGTAACATGGGTGAGAGAAATGTGGTTACCCACGAGTCTAGCTGGTAACATGGGTGAGAGAAATGTGGTTACCCACGAGTCTAGCTGGTAACATGGGTGAGAGAAATGTGGTTACCCACGAGTCTAGCTGGTAACATGGGTGAGAGAAATGTGGTTACCCACGAGTCTAGCTGGTAACATGGGTGAGAGAAATGTGGTTACCCACGAGTCTAGCTGGTAACATGGGTGAGAGAAATGTGGTTACCAACGAGTCTAGCTGGTAACATGGGTGAGAGAAATGTGGTTACCCACGAGTCTAGCTGGTAACATGGGTGAGAGAAATGTGGTTACCCACGGGTCTAGCTGGTAACATGGGTGAGAGAAATGTGGTTACCCACGGGTCTAGCTGGTAACATGGGTGAGAGAAATGTGGTTACCCACGGGTCTAGCTGGTAACATGGGTGAGAGAAATGTGGTTACCCACGTGTCTAGCTGCTAACATGGGTGAGAGAAATGTGGTTACCCACGAGTCTAGCTGGTAACATGGGTGAGAGAAATGTGGTTACCCACGAGTCTAGCTGGTAACATGGGTGAGAGAAATGTGGTTACCCACGAGTCTAGCTGGTAACATGGGTGAGAGAAATGTGGTTACCCACGAGTCTAGCTGGTAACATGGGTGAGAGAAATGTGGTTACCCACGGGTCTAGCTGGTAACATGGGTGAGAGAAATGTGGTTACCCACGAGTCTAGCTGGTAACATGGGTGAGAGAAATGTGGTTACCCACGAGTCTAGCTGGTAACATGGGTGAGAGAAATGTGGTTACCCACAAGTCTAGCTGGTTACATGGGTGAGAGAAATGTGGTTACCCACGAGTCTAGCTGGTAACATGGGTGAGAGAAATGTGGTTACCCACGAGTCTAGCTGGTAACATGGGTGAGAGAAATGTGGTTACCCACGGGTCTAGCTGGTAACATGGGTGAGAGAAATGTGGTTACCCACGAGTCTAGCTGGTAACATGGGTGAGAGAAATGTGGTTACCCACGAGTCTAGCTGGTAACATGGGTGAGAGAAATGTGGTTACCCACGAGTCTAGCTGGTAACATGGGTGAGAGAAATGTGGTTACCCACGAGTCTAGCTGGTAACATGGGTGAGAGAAATGTGGTTACCCACGGGTCTAGCTGGTAACATGGGTGAGAGAAATGTGGTTACCCACGGGTCTAGCTGGTAACATGGGTGAGAGAAATGTGGTTACCCACGTGTCTAGCTGGTAACATGGGTGAGAGAAATGTGGTTACCCACGAGTCTAGCTGGTAACATGGGTGAGAGAAATGTGGTTACCCACGAGTCTAGCTGGTAACATGGGTGAGAGAAATGTGGTTACCCACGAGTCTAGCTGGTAACATGGGTGAGAGAAATGTGGTTACCCACGGGTCTAGCTGGTAACATGGGTGAGAGAAATGTGGTTACCCACGGGTCTAGCTGGTAACATGGGTGAGAGAAATGTGGTTACCCACGTGTCTAGCTGGTAACATGGGTGAGAGAAATGTGGTTACCCACGAGTCTAGCTGGTAACATGGGTGAGAGAAATGTGGTTACCCACGAGTCTAGCTGGTAACATGGGTGAGAGAAATGTGGTTACCCACGAGTCTAGCTGGTAACATGGGTGAGAGAAATGTGGTTACCCACGAGTCTAGCTGGTAACATGGGTGAGAGAAATGTGGTTACCCACGAGTCTAGCTGGTAACATGGGTGAGAGAAATGTGGTTACCCACGAGTCTAGCTGGTAACATGGGTGAGAGAAATGTGGTTACCCACGAGTCTAGCTGGTAACATGGGTGAGAGAAATGTGGTTACCCACGGGTCTAGCTGGTAACATGGGTGAGAGAAATGTGGTTACCCACGGGTCTAGCTGGTAACATGGGTGAGAGAAATGTGGTTACCCACGGGTCTAGCTGGTAACATGGGTGAGAGAAATGTGGTTACCCACGTGTCTAGCTGCTAACATGGGTGAGAGAAATGTGGTTACCCACGAGTCTAGCTGGTAACATGGGTGAGAGAAATGTGGTTACCCACGAGTCTAGCTGGTAACATGGGTGAGAGAAATGTGGTTACCCACGAGTCTAGCTGGTAACATGGGTGAGAGAAATGTGGTTACCCACGAGTCTAGCTGGTAACATGGGTGAGAGAAATGTGGTTACCCACGGGTCTAGCTGGTAACATGGGTGAGAGAAATGTGGTTACCCACGAGTCTAGCTGGTAACATGGGTGAGAGAAATGTGGTTACCCACGAGTCTAGCTGGTAACATGGGTGAGAGAAATGTGGTTACCCACGAGTCTAGCTGGTTACATGGGTGAGAGAAATGTGGTTACCCACGAGTCTAGCTGGTAACATGGGTGAGAGAAATGTGGTTACCCACGAGTCTAGCTGGTAACATGGGTGAGAGAAATGTGGTTACCCACGGGTCTAGCTGGTAACATGGGTGAGAGAAATGTGGTTACCCACGAGTCTAGCTGGTAACATGGGTGAGAGAAATGTGGTTACCCACGAGTCTAGCTGGTAACATGGGTGAGAGAAATGTGGTTACCCACGAGTCTAGCTGGTAACATGGGTGAGAGAAATGTGGTTACCCACGAGTCTAGCTGGTAACATGGGTGAGAGAAATGTGGTTACCCACGGGTCTAGCTGGTAACATGGGTGAGAGAAATGTGGTTACCCACGGGTCTAGCTGGTAACATGGGTGAGAGAAATGTGGTTACCCACGTGTCTAGCTGGTAACATGGGTGAGAGAAATGTGGTTACCCACGAGTCTAGCTGGTAACATGGGTGAGAGAAATGTGGTTACCCACGAGTCTAGCTGGTAACATGGGTGAGAGAAATGTGGTTACCCACGAGTCTAGCTGGTAACATGGGTGAGAGAAATGTGGTTACCCACGGGTCTAGCTGGTAACATGGGTGAGAGAAATGTGGTTACCCACGGGTCTAGCTGGTAACATGGGTGAGAGAAATGTGGTTACCCACGTGTCTAGCTGGTAACATGGGTGAGAGAAATGTGGTTACCCACGAGTCTAGCTGGTAACATGGGTGAGAGAAATGTGGTTACCCACGAGTCTAGCTGGTAACATGGGTGAGAGAAATGTGGTTACCCACGAGTCTAGCTGGTAACATGGGTGAGAGAAATGTGGTTACCCACGAGTCTAGCTGGTAACATGGGTGAGAGAAATGTGGTTACCCACGAGTCTAGCTGGTAACATGGGTGAGAGAAATGTGGTTACCCACGAGTCTAGCTGGTAACATGGGTGAGAGAAATGTGGTTACCCACGAGTCTAGCTGGTAACATGGGTGAGAGAAATGTGGTTACCCACGAGTCTAGCTGGTAACATGGGTGAGAGAAATGTGGTTACCCACGAGTCTAGCTGGTAACATGGGTGAGAGAAATGTGGTTACCCACGAGTCTAGCTGGTAACATGGGTGAGAGAAATGTGGTTACCCACGAGTCTAGCTGGTAACATGGGTGAGAGAAATGTGGTTACCCACGAGTCTAGCTGGTAACATGGGTGAGAGAAATGTGGTTACCCACGAGTCTAGCTGGTAACATGGGTGAGAGAAATGTGGTTACCCACGGGTCTAGCTGGTAACATGGGTGAGAGAAATGTGGTTACCCACGAGTCTAGCTGGTAACATGGGTGAGAGAAATGTGGTTACCCACGAGTCTAGCTGGTAACATGGGTGAGAGAAATGTGGTTACCCACGAGTCTAGCTGGTAACATGGGTGAGAGAAATGTGGTTACCCACGAGTCTAGTTGGTAACATGGGTGAGAGAAATGTGGTTACCCACGAGTCTAGCTGGTAACATGGGTGAGAGAAATGTGGTTACCCACGAGTCTAGCTGGTAACATGGGTGAGAGAAATGTGGTTACCCACGGGTCTAGCTGGTAACATGGGTGAGAGAAATGTGGTTACCCACGGGTCTAGCTGGTAACATGGGTGAGAGAAATGTGGTTACCCACGTGTCTAGCTGGTAACATGGGTGAGAGAAATGTGGTTACCCACGAGTCTAGCTGGTAACACGGGTGAGAGAAATGTGGTTACCCACGAGTCTAGCTGGTAACATGGGTGAGAGAAATGTGGTTACCCACGAGTCTAGCTGGTAACATGGGTGAGAGAAATGTGGTTACCCACGAGTCTAGCTGGTAACATGGGTGAGAGAAATGTGGTTACCCACGAGTCTAGCTGGTAACATGGGTGAGAGAAATGTGGTTACCCACGAGTCTAGCTGGTAACATGGGTGAGAGAAATGTGGTTACCCACGAGTCTAGCTGGTAACATGGGTGAGAGAAATGTGGTTACCCACGAGTCTAGCTGGTAACATGGGTGAGAGAAATGTGGTTACCCACGAGTCTAGCTGGTAACATGGGTGAGAGAAATGTGGTTACCCACGAGTCTAGCTGGTAACATGGGTGAGAGAAATGTGGTTACCCACGAGTCTAGCTGGTAACATGGGTGAGAGAAATGTGGTTACCCACGAGTCTAGCTGGTAACATGGGTGAGAGAAATGTGGTTACCCACGAGTCTAGCTGGTAACATGGGTGAGAGAAATGTGGTTACCCACGAGTCTAGCTGGTAACATGGGTGAGAGAAATGTGGTTACCCACGAGTCTAGCTGGTAACATGGGTGAGAGAAATGTGGTTACCCACGAGTCTAGCTGGTAACATGGGTGAGAGAAATGTGGTTACCCACGAGTCTAGCTGGTAACATGGGTGAGAGAAATGTGGTTACCCACGAGTCTAGCTGGTAACATGGGTGAGAGAAATGTGGTTACCCACGAGTCTAGCTGGTAACATGGGTGAGAGAAATGTGGTTACCCACGAGTCTAGCTGGTAACATGGGTGAGAGAAATGTGGTTACCCACGAGTCTAGCTGGTAACATGGGTGAGAGAAATGTAACCCACGGGTCTTCTGTCTTATGCTTTGCGTATTGTTACTGTAAGACCTTGTAAATCTTCTTTCTGATGCTCTGTGTATTGTTACTGTAAGACCTTGTAAATCTTTTGTCTGATGCTGCTTTGTATATTGTTGGAGTGGGTGAGATTTGGTTTTAATTATGGATGTCCATTTTATATGTTATACTATTTATGTGTGATCTTCGTGGTGTTTCGAATGTTTGTCGGCGGCTTATGAAGGAGATCGCGTACATTTTAGAGGTGTTTATGTTGTTTTGACTTTTGAATATCGTTCTTTTATGTTTTTAGGCAGCGTAAAGAAGTCGAATTTAGGCCAACATTTACCGTCAACTTTAGGCCACTTGAAACTTTTGAAATTAAAAGTTCCCAATTTGTAAGCACGAAAGTTCGTCCAATAGCCTGCTTGGCTGCACAGAATTTGGACGTCTTATAGAAATCCTACTCTATTCATACCCTTCATGCACCGCAAGGTTCATTCGTGTATGACAGCTGAGGACTAGCTGAATAAATTACCGCGACTGTCTACACCTCTCACCTCACGAACACCCTCTGAACTGATCACGTGTTTTTGGTTTTGATTAACGTCTGCTTGTTTCTATGGTCTAACTTTCGTGTGCAATGAGAATCTCATACACGCATCACTAGCCCGCATGGCTTGTCTTACCTTTAGATTTTTATCTTTCTAAGATATTTTCCAATTGGAGAGATCATCTGTAAGTGTAATCTATTTCATTACATTGTAACCTTCCTGTGGTAAGATAAAATGCAGATTCAGCGATATATAATTATTATCATTGTATTTACTTTTTTATGGGAATTCAGTTTTTGAGCATGAAGGGTAACATGACTCAACGTTTTTAAAAATCGTGATTTAAATTTGTGTTACACCAATGAACTGGTAATTGCTATTTTTTTTTTGGCGGCATGGTACTTTGGTACATCACTACGCGTTTTTCTACATGTACTTAACAGATCAGTTCGGGGTGGTTTGTGGGGGGTGTGGGTTCAACTTCATTCACCACTGTCCGGTCACTTTAGGTCAATTATCCAACCCAGTGTATACCTAGGTGTGACATTAATGTCGCTCTACACAATTGTGGTGGTGAGGTGTGTGTGTGTGGGGGGGAGAGATAACCAACTCAGAGTGAACATAGAGTCAGTTTTTAGATGACTGTTCTAAACATACATATATATTACACAAATATATATTACAGAAATAGATTTAAATAAGTAGCAGTGGTATTATGACAATATTTTTTTACAGAGGGTCCATGGGGGAAGGGGGTTGTAACTGTTTCATATAATTTGTAATCGTAATCACTATCGCCAAGTGGTACTACCCGTAGAGGTTTTTTAAACATTGCAATGCATCGTAATGGTTATTTTTAGAATTACAAACTGATGCACCTGTTAATACGTGTTGTAAACGTAGACACTACTAGACTAGTACAATAATGCTTAATTGCTGCATGAAAAGAAATCTTGTGATTTACATAGATGTCCCGACCAAAAATATTTTTTTAACAAATATCATTATTTAAAACTTTGAGTTTAAAACGTTTCCAAAAAGGCGCCACTTTGCTGAAAAAGGCCAGAGGGGGAGCGGCCGCTCCCCATGCTCCCCCCCCCCCCCCCCCTGCGTACGCTACTGTTCTGACCACTTTTTAAAATCATGATTTAAATTTGTGTTACACCAATGAACAATCGGACCACTTTTTAAAATCATGATTTAAATGTGTGTTACACCAATGAACAATCTGACCACTTTTTAAAATCATGATTTAAATTTGTGTAACACCAAAGAAGAGTCCGACAACCATACCCAGTTACCCGAGCTCATTCAAACTTGAGACAAAGAAAGCAACAAAGCACGTGCTAAGAACATTTAGTAAACAAAATTCTTTCTCCTGCTCTCAAGGACAAGGTCAGGGTTGTCTCTGACGTCATTCTCAAGGGTTGACTTCGGGATGACGCACTGATCTTTAGAGTTGCCGTTCCTAAAGATAAAATAATGTGTTTATTGTGTTAACTTGTACTGTCAAGTATTCATATGACGGGTGCCAGACAATAAAGGCATGACATGGTTTTTTTGTCTCACCTGTCAACAGTAACACCTTTGGTGGGGTCACGTGGGTCAATGTGTTTGATATACATTGCATCCCGTGAACCCATTGACGGACACTCATCGAAATAGTTGTAGGGCAGCAAGAAGAAGGTCAAGTGATTGCCTACAGTTGGGGTCACAGGCAGGTCTTCAGTGTGGGGGATGTGATGCATGCCCCCAGTCAGCCAGAATACCAGGTCCTGGTTGTTAGACGTTAGCAACGGTTGGAACAATTTCAATCAACATTTTAAACTTGTTTGCAAAGATTGTAACAAATTCAATCAACATTAATAATCTGTTTGCAAAGATTGAAACAATTTCAATCAACATTAATAATCTGTTTGCAAAGATTGTAACAATTTCAATCAACATTAATAATCTGTTTGCAAAGATTGTAACAAGCAATTTCAATCAACATTAATAATCTGTTTGCAAAGATTGTAACAAGCAATTTCAATCAACATTAATAATCTGTTTGCAAAGATTGTAACAAGCAATTTCAATCAACATTAATAATCTGTTTGCAAAGATTGTAACAAAATAATTTCAATCAACATTAATAATCTGTTTGCAAAGATTGTAACAAAATAATTTCAATCAACATTAATAATCCGTTTACAAAGATTGTAACAAATTCAATCAACATTAATAATCTGTTTGCAAAGATTGTAACAAGCAATTTCAATCAACATTAATAATCTGTTTGCAAAGATTGTAACAAGCAATTTCAATCAACATTAATAATCTGTTTGCAAAGATTGTAACAATTTCAATCAACATTAATAATCTGTTTGCAAATATTGTAACAATTTCAATCAACATTAATAATCTGTTTGCAAAGATTGTAACAATTTCAATCAACATTAATAATCTGTTTACAAAGATTGTAACAATTTCAATCAACATTAATAATCTGTTTGCAAAGATTGTAACAATTTCAATCAACATTAATAATCTGTTTGCAAAGATTGTAACAATTTCAATCAACATTAATAATCTGTTTACAAAGATTGTGACAATTTCAATCAACATTAATAATCTGTTTACAAAGATTGTAACAAAACAATTTCAATCAACATTAATAATCTGTTTGTAAAGATTGTAACAATTTCAATCAACATTAATAATCTGTTTACAAAGATTGTAACAATTTCAATCAACATTAATAATCTGTTTACAAAGATTGTAACAATTTCAATCAACATTAATAATCTGTTTGCAAAGATTGTAACAATTTCAATCAACATTAATAATCTGTTTACAAAGATTGTAACAAAACGAATTCAATCAACATTAATAATCTGTTTGCAAAGATTGTAACAAAATAAAATAAAAGGTCCTGACCTGGTCAACAATGTCTTCGTCGTCATCATAAAATTTGGTGAAGTTGACCACAGGGTCAAGGCCGTCAAACATGCCGTAGTTGGAGCTAGACCAGATCTCGTCGTCCTTGTGTCTGGTGACCACCATCTGGTGCCGTGCCCAGGGGATGGTGCGCTCATTTCCCTGGTCACGTGGCAACAGGTTGTGAGAGATGCCGTTTAGCTGAATTCTGTTGGTCAATGTTAACTAGTTTACCAGTGGACATTGTCAATGTTACAAACTTAAACAGTGGACATTGTCAATGTTACAAAGTTAAACAGTTGACATTGTCAATGTTACAAAGTTGAACAGTGGACATTGTCAATGTTACAAAGTTAAACAGTAGACATTGTCAATGTTACAAAGTTAAACAGTGGGCATGAGAAAATATTCAACCAACTACACTAGACTAAATTTTTCTATTCATATCCTAGAAAGTAATGTCTAGGTTCGGTCGTCTATCAAGTCTAGGTCAGCTCTATGACCTAACGGCACTGAGTATATTGATTAGATTCCCCTACCTGTAAATTAATGTTGATTAGATTCCCCCACCTGTAACTTAATTTTGATTAGATTCCCCTACCTGTAACTTACGGATATGTTGATTAGATTCCTCTACCTGTAACTTAAGGATATGTTGATTAGATTCACCTACCTGTAACTTAATGTTGATTAGATTCCCCTACCTGTAACTTAATGTTGATTAGATTCCCCTACCTGTAACTTAATGTTGATTAGATTCACCTACCTGTAACTTACGGATATGTTGATTAGATTCACCTACTTGTAACTTAATGTTGATTAGATTCCCCTACCTGTAACTTAATGTTGATTAGATTCCCCTACCTGTAACTTAATGTTGATTAGATTCCCCTACCTGTAACTTACGGATATGTTAATTAAATTCACCTACCTGTAACCTAATGTTGATTAGATTCCCCTACCTGTAACTTAATGTTGATTAGATTCCCCTACCATTAACTTACGGATATGTTGATTAGATTCCCCTACCTGTAACTTACGGATATGTTGATTAGATTCCCCTACCTGTAACTTAATGTTGATTAGATTCCCCTACCTGTAACTTAATGTTGATTAGATTCCCCTACCTGTAACTTACGGGTATGTTGATTAGATTCATCTACCTGTTACTTAATGTTGATTAGATTCCTCTACCTGTAACTTAATGTTGAATAGATTCACCTACCTGTAACTTAATGTTGAATAGATTCACCTACCTGTAACTTAATGTTGAATAGATTCACCTACCTGTAACTTACGGATATGTTGAATAGATTCACCTACCTGTAACTTAATGTTGATTAGATTCCCCTACCTGTAACTTAATGTTTATTAGATTCACCTACCTGTAACTTACGGATATGTGGAATAGATTCACCTACCTGTAACTTAATGTTGATTAGATTCACCTACCTGTAACTTAATCTTGAATAGATTCCCCTACCTGTAACTTACGGATATGTTGATTAGATTCCCCCACCTGTAACTTACGGATATGTGGATTAGATTCACCTACCTGTAACTTAATGTGGAATAGATTCCCCTGCCTGTAACTTACGGATATGTTTATTAGATTCCCCTACCTGTAACTTACGGAAATGTAGATTAGATTCACCTACCTGTAACTTAATGTTGATTAGATTCACCTACCTGTAACTTAATCTTGAATAGATTCCCCCACCTGTAACTTAAGGATATGTTGAATAGATTCACCTACCTGTAACTTAATGTTCAATAGATTCCCCTGCCTGTAACTTACGGATATGTTGATTAGATTCCCCTACCTGTAACTTACGGATATGTTGATTAGATTCACCTACCTGTAACTTAATGTTGAATAGATTCACCTACCTGTAACTTACGGATATGCTGATTAGATTCCCCTACCTGTAACTTACGGATATGTTGATTAGATTCCCCTACCTGTAACTTAATGTTGATTAGATTCCCCTACCTGTAACTTACGGATATGTTGATTAGATTCCCCTACCTGTAACTTAGGGATATGTTGATTAGATTCCCCTACCTGTAACTTAATGTTGATTAGATTCCACTACCTGTAACTTACGGATATGTTGATTAGATTCCCCTACCTGTAACTTAATGTTGATGAGATTCCCCTACCTGTGACTTAATGTTTATTAGATTCGCCTACCTGTAACTTACGGATATGTTGATTAGATTCCCCTATCTGTAACTTACGGAAATGTTGATTAAATTCCCCTACCTGTAACTTAATGTTGAATAGATTCCCCTACCTTTAAATTACGATTATGTTGATTAGATTCCCCTACCTGTAACTAAATGTTGATTAGATTCCCCCACCTGTAACTTACGGATATGTTGATTAGATTCACCCACCTGTAACTTAATGTTGATTAGATTCACCTACCTGTAACTTACGGATATGTTAATTAGATTCACCTACCTGTAACTTAATGTTGATTAAATTCCCCTACCTGTAACTTAATGTTGATTAGATTCCCCTAACTGTAACTTACGGATATGTTGATTAGATTCCCCTACCTGTAACTTAATGTTGATTAGATTCCCCTACCAGTAACTTAATGTTGATTAGATTCACCTACCTGTAACTTACGGATATGTTGATTAGATTCACCTACCTGTAACTTACGGATATGTTGATTAGATTCCCCTACGTGTAACTTAATGTTGATTACATTCCCCTACCTTTAACTTACGGATATGTTGATTAGATTCACCTACCTGTAACTTACGGATATGCTGATTAGATTCACCTACCTGTAACTTACGGATATGTTGATTAGATTCACCTACCTGTAACTTAATGTTGATTAGATTCCTCTACCTGTAACTTAATGTTGATTAGATTCACCTACCTGTAACTTACGGATATGTTGATTAGATTCCCCTACCTGTAACTTACGGATATGTTGATTAGATTCACCTACCTGTAACTTAATGTTGATTAGATTCACCTACCTGTAACTTATGGATATGTTGATTAGATTCACCTACCTGTAACTTACGGATATGCTGATTAGATTCACCTACCTCTAACTTACGGATATGTTGATTAGATTCCCCTACCTGTAACTTAATGTTGATTAGATTCACCTACCTGTAACTTACGGATATGTTGATTAGATTCCCCTACCTCTAACTTACGGATATGTGGATTAGATTCACCTACCTGTAACTTACGTATATGCTAATTAGATTCCCCTACCTGTAACTTAATGTTGATTAGATTCCCCTACCTGTAACTTAATGTTGATTAGATTCCCCTACCTGTAACTTACGGATATGTTGATTAGATTCCCCTACCTGTTACTTAATGTTGATTAGATTCACCTACCTGTAACTTAATGTTGATTAGATTCCCCTACCTGTAACTTACGGATATGTTGATTAGATTCATCTACCTGTAACTTAATGTTGATTAGATTCCCCTACCTGTAACTTAATGTTGAATAGATTCACCTACCTGTAACTTAATGTTGAATAGATTCACCTACCTGTAACTTAATGTTGAATAGACTCACCTACCTGTAACTTACGGATATGTTGATTAGATTCCCCTACCTGTAACTTACGGATATGTTGATTAGATCCCCCTACCTGTAACTTAATGTTGATTAGATTCCCCTACCTGTAACTTAATGTTTATTAGATTCACCTACCTGTAACTTACGGATATGTGGATTAGATTCACCTACCTGTAACTTAATGTTGATTAGATTCACCTACCTGTAACTTAATCTTGAATAGATTCCCCTACCTGTAACTTACGGATATGTTGATTAGATTCCCCCACCTGTAACTTACGGATATGTTGAATAGATTCACCTACCTGTAACTTAATGTTGATTAGATTCCCTTACCTGTAACTTAATGTTGATTAGATTCCCCTACCTGTAACTTACGGATATGTTGATTAGATTCTTCTACCTGTAACTTAATGTTGATTAGATTCCCCTACCTGTAACTTAATGTTGAATAGATTCACCTACCTGTAACTTAATGTTGAATAGATTCACCTACCTGTAACTTAATGTTGAATAGATTCCCCTACCTGTAACTTACGGATATGTTGATTAGATTCCCCCACCTGTAACTTACGGATATGTGGATTAGATTCACCTACCTGTAACTTAATGTTGAATAGATTCCCCTATCTGTAACTTACTATTATGTTGATTAGATTCACCTACCTGTAACTTACGGATATGTTGAATAGATTCACCTACCTGTAACTTAATGTTGATTAGATTCCCCTACCTGTAACTTAATGTTGATTAGATTCCCCTACCTGTAACTTACGGATATGTTGATTAGATTCATCTACCTGTAACTTAATGTTGATTAGATTCCCCTACCTGTAACTTAATGTTGAATAGATTCACCTACCTGTAACTTAATGTTGAATAGATTCACCTACCTGTAACTTAATGTTGAATAGATTCACCTACCTGTAACTTACGGATATGTTGATTAGATTCCCCTACCTGTAACTTACGGATATGTTGATTAGATCCCCCTACCTGTAACTTAATGTTGATTAGATTCCCCTACCTGTAACTTAATGTTTATTAGATTCACCTACCTGTAACTTACGGATATGTTGATTAGATTCCCCCACCTGTAACTTACGGATATGTGGATTAGATTCACCTACCTGTAACTTAATGTTGAATAGATTCCCCTATCTGTAACTTACTATTATGTTGATTAGATTCACCTACCTGTAACTTACGGATATGTTGAATAGATTCACCTACCTGTAACTTAATGTTGAATAGATTCCCCTGCCTGTAACTTACGGATATGTTTATTAGATTCCCCTACCTGTAACTTACGGATATGTTGATTAGATTCACCTACCTGTAACTTAATATAGATTAGATTCACCTACCTGTAACTTAATCTTGAATAGATTCCCCCACCTGTAACTTAAGGATATGTTGAATAGATTCACCTACCTGTAACTTAATGTTCAATAGATTCCCCTGCCTGTAACTTACGGATATGTTGATTAGATTCCCCTACCTGTAACTTACGGATATGTTGATTAGATTCACCTACCTGTAACTTAATGTTGAATAGATTCACCTACCTGTAACTTACGGATATGCTGATTAGATTCCCCTACCTGTAACTTACGGATATGTTGATTAGATTCCCCTACCTGTAACTTAATGTTGATTAGATTCACCTACCTGTAACTTACGGAAATGTTGATTAGATTCCCCTACCTGTAACTTACGGATATGTTGATTAGATTCCCCTACCTGTAACTTAATGTTGATTAGATTCCACTACCTGTAACTTACGGATATGTTGATTAGATTCCCCTACCTGAAACTTAATGTTGATGAGATTCCCCTACCTGTGACTTAATGTTTATTAAATTCGCCTACCTGTAACTTACGGATATGTTGATTAGATTCCCCTATCTGTAACTTACGGAAATGTTGATTAAATTCCCCTACCTGTAACTTAATGTTGAATAGATTCCCCTACCTGTAACTTACGATTATGTTGATTAGATTCCCCTACCTGTAACTAAATGTTGATTAGATTCCCCTACCTGTAACTTACGGATATGTTGATTAGATTCACCTACCTGTAACTTAACGTTGATTAGATTCACCTACCTGTGACTTACGGATATGTTAATTAAATTCACCTACCTGTAACTTAATGTTGATTAGATTCCCCTACCTGTAACTTAATGTTGATTAGATTCCCCTACCTGTAACTTAATGTTGATTAGATTCCCCTACCTGTAACTTAATGTTGATTAGATTCCCCTACCTGTAACTTAATGTTGATTAGATTCCCCTACCTGTAACTTACGGATATGTTGATTAGATTCCCCTACCTGTAACTATATTTTGATAGATTCCCCTACCTGTAACTTAATGTTGATTAGATTCACCTACCTGTAACTTACGGATATGTTGATTAGATTCCCCTACGTGTAACTTAATGTTGATTACATTCCCCTATCTTTAACTTACGGATATGTTGATTAGATTCACCTACCTGTAACTTACGGATATGCTGATTAGATTCACCTACCTGTAACTTACGGATATGTTGATTAGATTCACCTACCTGTAACTTAATGTTGATTAGATTCCTCTACCTGTAACTTAATGTTGATTAGATTCACCTACCTGTAACTTACGGATATGTTGATTAGATTCCCCTACTTGTAACTTACGGATATGTTGATTAGATTCACCTACCTGTAACTTAATGTTGATTAGATTCACCTACCTGTAACTTATGGATATGCTGATTAGATTCACCTACCTCTAACTTACGGATATGTTGATTAGATTCACCTACCTGTAACTTAATGTTGATTAGATTCACCTACCTGTAACTTACGGATATGTTGATTAGATTCCCCTACCTCTAACTTACGGATATGTGGATTAGATTCACCTACCTGTAACTTACGTATATGCTAATTAGATTCCCCTACCTGTAACTTAATGTTGATTAGATTCCCCTACCTGTAACTTAATGTTGATTAGATTCCCCTACCTGTAACTTACGGATATGTTGATTAGATCCCCCTACCTGTTACTTAATGTTGATTAGATTCACCTACCTGTAACTTACGGATATGTTGATTAGATTCCCCTACCTGTAACTTACGGATATGTTGATTAGATTCCCCTACCTGTAACTTACGGATATGTTGATTAGATTCCCCTACCTGTAACCCTTGAGCTCATTAAATTTGGATTTCTTGGCCTCGTTGTGTACGACAAGATACTTTGGCGTGTGAAAGTTGTAGTCGTAGACAGCTTCTCGCTCCGTTTTCTTCAGGTTTCTCGTGTACTTTGTTTGCTGGTACATCATGCCTGGGTTCTTTTCTCAGATCAATCAAGTTTAAAGTTAGCTTTTTACTCACACTTGCATTCTATGTGTGCATCATGTTTTCATACATTCGATGGGAATATAAATGTACTAGTATTACGTGTTTAAATGCTGCATAACCCTAAGTGCACTAGCCTAAAGCCAAACTAACCTAAACTTAACAAATCTAAACCTAACCGTGCCGTCCATCAGACGGTATTAACCGCAACCTAATTTAAACATAATCCTATCCTCAACCAAATTTAAACCTAACACCAACCCTCAACTAAATTTAAACCTAACCCTAACCTCAACCAAATTTAAACCTAACCCTAACCTCAACCAAATTTAAACATAATCCTAACCTCAACCAAATTTAAACCTAACACTAACCCTCAACTAAATTTAAACATAACCCTAACCCCAACTAAATTTAAACCTAACACTAACCTCAACCAAATTTAAACCTAACCCTAACCTCAACTAAATTTAAACCTAACCCTAACCTCAACTAAATTTAAACCTAACCCTAACCTCAACTAAATTTAAACCTAACCCTAACCTCAACCAAATTTAAACCTAATTCTAACCTCAACTAAATTTAAACCTAACCCTAACCTCAACTAAATTTAAACCTAATCCTAACCTCAACCAAATTTAAACCTAACACTAACCCTCAACTAAATTTAAACCTAACCCTAACCTCAACCAAATTTAAACCTAATTCTAACCTCAACTAAACTTAAACCTAACCCTAACCTCAAATAAATTTAAACCTAACCCTAACCTCAACCAAATTTAAACCTAATCCTAACCTCCACTAAATTTAAACCTAATCCTAACCTCAACTAAATTTATACCTAACCCTAACTAAATTTATACCTAACCTCAACTAAATATAAACCTAAACCTAACCTCAACCCTTACCTCTCTGATTGAAACTACTTCGTTGACGATGTCCAGAGTCTCATAACGGTTAGACGTACCACCCACATCCAGGTCAGCTTTAAAGTGGGCCATGTGGTGGTGGACACTTCCGGTCAGTGATTTCTCAAGTTTAAAGCCATAGGACTTCTCAAGGTCAGAGTAAAAGCTGGACTGGATGTAACCTGGACAAACATGGACTGGATGTAACATTTGCAGGCATAAACATGGACTGGATGTAACATTAGGAGACATAAACATGAACTTGATGTAATATTTGCAGGCATAAACATGGACTGGATGTAATATTTAGTGAAAGAAACATGGTTTGGATAAATAAAAAGTGATAGAAACACGAACTGGGTATAAAATGTTGGTGTAAAAGTTAGACTCAACTTTCCTATGCTTATTAACTAGTTTATTACACAGAACTCACCTGTGCTCATTAATCTCGCCTCGACAACGCCATTTTGATGGAAGATGAAGTCTATGATGTAATCATAGTTGCCAATTGTCAACGCGGATCTGTAGGCGAAAATTCAGAGCAATTGTCATTCATTTGTTTCATTCATTTGTTTGATTCATTTGTTTCATTCATTTGTTTCAATCATTTGTTTCATTTATTCATTTCATTCATTTGTTTCATTCATTTGTTTCATTCATTAGAAAATACCTTAATGTGAGTACAGAATCCAACATGCCGCCATAGAACAAACCTTAATGTGAGTACAGAATCCAACATGCCGCCATAGAACAAACCTTAGTGTGAGTACAGAATCCAACATGCAGCCATAGAACAAACCTTAGTGTGAGTACAGAATCCAACATGCCACCATAGAACAAACCTTAGTGTGAGTACAGAATCCAACATGCCACCATAGAACAAACCTTAGTGTGAGTACAGAATCCAACATGCCGCCATAGAACAAACCTTAATGTGAGTACAGAATCCAACATGCCACCATAGAACAAACCTTAGTGTGAGTACAGAATCCAACATGCCGCCATAGAACAAACCTTAATGTGAGTACAGAATCCAACATGCCGCCATAGAACAAACCTTAATGTGAGTACAGAATCCAACATGCCGCCATAGAACAAACCTTAATGTGAGTACAGAATCCAACATGCCGCCATAGAACAAACCTTAGTGTGAGTACAGAATCCAACATGCCACCATAGAACAAACCTTAATGTGAGTACAGAATCCAACATCCCACCATAGAACAAACCTTAGTGTGAGTACAGAATCCAACATGCAACCATAGAACAAACCTTAATGTGAGTACAGAATCCAACATGCCGCCATAGAACAAACCTTAGTGTGAGTACAGAATCCAACATGCCGCCATAGAACAAAGTGTGAGTAAAGAATCCAACATGCCGCCATATAACAAAATGTGAGTACAGAATCCAACATGCCGCCATAGAACAAACCTTAGTGTGAGTACAGAATCCAACATGCCGCCATAGAACAAAGTGTGAGTACAGAATCCAACATGCCACCATAGAACAAACCTTAGTGTGAGTACAGAATCCAACATGCCACCATAGAACAAACCTTAGTGTGAGTACAGAATCCAACATGCCACCATAGAACAAACCTTAGTGTGAGTACAGAATCCAACATGCAGCCATAGAACAAACCTTAGTGTGAGTACAGAATCCAACATGCCGCCATAAAACAAACCTTAATGTGAGTACAGAATCCAACATGCCGCCATAGAACAAACCTTAATGTGAGTACAGAATCCAACATGCCGCCATAGAACAAACCTTAGTGTGAGTACAGAATCCAACATGCCGCCATAGAACAAACCTTAGTGTGAGTACAGAATCCAACATGCCGCCATAGAACAAACCTTAGTGTGAGTACAGAATCCAACATGCCACCATAGAACAAACCTTAGTGTGAGTACAGAATCCAACATGCCGCCATAGAACAAAGTGTGAGTACAGAATCCAACATGCCGCCATAGAACAAACCTTAGTGTGAGTACAGAATCCAACATGCCGCCATAAAACAAACCTTAATGTGAGTACAGAATCCAACATGCCGCCATAGAACAAACCTTAATGTGAGTACAGAATCCAACATGCCGCCATAGAACAAACCTTAGTGTGAGTACAGAATCCAACATGCCGCCATAGAACAAACCTTAGTGTGAGTACAGAATCCAACATGCCGCCATAGAACAAACCTTAGTGTGAGTACAGAATCCAACATGCCACCATAGAACAAACCTTAGTGTGAGTACAGAATCCAACATGCCGCCATAGAACAAAGTGTGAGTACAGAATCCAACATGCCGCCATAGAACAAACCTTAATGTGAGTACAGAATCCAACATGCCGCCATAGAACAAACCTTAGTGTGAGTACAGAATCCAACATGCCGCCATAGAACAAACCTTAGTGTGAGTACAGAATCCAACATGCCGCCATAGAACAAAGTGTGAGTACAGAATCCAACATGCCGCCATAGAACAAACCTTAGTGTGAGTACAGAATCCAACATGCCGCCATAGAACAAACCTTAGTGTGAGTACAGAATCCATCATGCCGCCATAGAACAAACCTTAGTGTGAGTACAGAATCCAACATGCCGCAGTAGAACGAACCTTAATGTGAGTACAGAATCCAACATGCCGCCATAGAACAAAGTGTGAGTACAGAATCCAATATGCCGCAGTAGAACGAACCTTAATGTGAGTACAGAATCCAACATGCCATCATAGAACAAACCTTAATGTGAGTACAGAATCCAACATGCCATCATAGAACAAACCTTAGTGTGAGTACAGAATCCAACATGCCATCATAGAACAAACCTTAGTGTGAGTACAGAATCCAACATGCCACCATAGAACAAACCTTAATGTGAGTACAGAATCCAACATGCCGCCATAGAACAAACCTTAATGTGAGTACAGAATCCAACATGCCGCCATAGAACAAACCTTAATGTGAGTACAGAATCCAACATGCCGCCATAGAACAAACCTTAGTGTGAGTACAGAATCCAACATGCCGCCATAGAACAAACCTTAGTGTGAGTACAGAATCCAACATGCCACCATAGAACAAACCTTAATGTGAGTACAGAATCCAACATGCCGCCATAGAACAAACCTTAATGTGAGTACAGAATCCAACATGCCGCCATAGAACAAACCTTAGTGTGAGTACAGAATCCAACATGCCACCATAGAACAAACCTTAGTGTGAGTACAGAATCAAACATGCAGCCATACAACAAACCTTAGTGTGAGTACAGAATCCAACATGCCACCATAGAACAAACCTTAGTGTGAGTACAGAATCCAACATGCAGCCATACAACAAACCTTAGTGTGAGTACGGAATCCAACATGCCACCATAGAACGAACCAGCTTCCTTCTCATAGGACGAGTGTCTCCTAAGCGGGTAACCGTTGTTGATCTCGAACAGACAGAAAGTGGCGTCAAAGACTCCAGGTTCGTCTTGGTGCTGACTCCAGAATGTCTAGACCAGAGATTTTATGTTATTGTACTTAATTACACAAACAATTGGTACTAATCAAACTTTCTTTATTTGATGCAGTAGTAATGAAGAGGTTCAGGATAGAGTCAGAAATAGAAAGCACCTGGTTGACAAGGGTAGAGAACTCAGGGCAGTCACCCCCCGGTACCATGGACTTGGAGTGAGACCCCAGTAGCACGCCACTGTCCACGTAGTTTGTTATTTGCTGGGGAAAATAAAAACCATCACAGTTTCATGTTCATAAGTAAAGTGTGTCCAAGAATATTTGCTTTAATGCGACATCAGCGCTGGGTACAAGACTTACTGACATAGGGGCCCCACCGGAATAAAACACCGATATCTCAGCCAGACCAAACTCGTAAGCGATTCTCTCCCCTTTAAACCTGACGTCATAGAGCGAAGGTCCAGTCAGTGCTGACATCCGGAAGTTGAAGGTCCAGCCCATATACTCCACCTGGTGGTCAAAGACTAAATCAACACAGCATCAACAACACTAAACTAATAGGACTTCGATCAACAACACTAAACTAATAGGACTTAGATCAACAACACTAAACTAATAGGACTTAGATCAACAACACTAAACTAATAGGACTTAGATCAACAACACTAAACTAATAGGACTTAGATCAACAACACTAAACTAATAGGACTTAGTTCAACAACACTAAACTAATAGAAATTAGATCAACAACACTAAACTAATACGACTTAGATCAACAACACTAAACTAATAGGACTTAGTTCAACAACACTAAACTAATAGGACTTAGCTTAACAGCACTAAACTAATAGGACTTAGATCAACAACACTAAACTAATAGGACTTAGATCAACAACACTAAACTAATAGGACTTATTATGGTTTTATATTCATTCTTTGCATATGACGTAGTCAGTAACGATTTCAACCTGTTGAAACCTTCGTGTAGATTGAGCGAACAAGATTTATTTTGATTATCTCCCCTAACCTACCTTCCTGTGAGTGAGTAAGATTTATTTTGATTATCTCCCCTAACCTACCTTTCTGTGAATGAGTAAGATTTATTTTGATTATCTCCCCTAGCTTACCTTTCTGTGAGTGAGTAAGATTTATTTTGATTATCTCCCCTAACTTACCTTCCTGTGTTTGAGTGAGTAAGATTTATTTTGATTATCTCCCCTAACTTACCTTCCTGTGTTTGAGTGAGTAAGATTTATTTTGATTATCTCCCCTAACTTACCTTCCTGTGTTTGAGTGAGTACCTCTTGCCGTCTGGCTCTACCTGTACCGGTGCTCTCTGTGGTTTCTTGGGTAAAGGCTGTCCTCGTCTGTACAAAGTGCTAAATAGTTTGTTGGTCTCTTTTGGCTTGACCACTTGCACCGTGGGGATTCTGGGAAGAGAAGATAAATATTGGTAAATATAACGTATGCCTTAGATTAAATGTCTCGAAAATTCTGCAATGGCTCATACACATTATTGTAATCAGAAATTAAAATATAAAAATATTTATGTTTACATCACTATTCGTTTTCAAATAATTGTAATTAAATCTTTTAAATAGAAGAAGCGATAATTCTTTAGGGAGATTTTATTGTCAAAGGCTAGGAATGGAGCACATTGTTTAGTAGACTGTGGTTAATCCTTGTTTATATGCTGTTGTGTTGGGCGTTAAAGTATCAAGGGGGGGTGGAGGGTGCTAAGGGACATGGTGGGTGGATGTCTGTGAAGGTGTGAGCCAATGTGTTTGTGTATGTGAGCCAATGTGTTTGTGTATGTGAGCCAATGTGTTTGTGTATGTGAGCGAATGTGTTTGTGTATGTGAGCCAATGGGTTTGTGTATGTGAGCCAATGGGTTTGTGTATCATGTGATACCAACACGCTATAAATAGCTTCAGATTTTACTTGTGATTGTTGTATCCGTCTACCAGCTCTTCCACAGTGTCGTATATCCTGCCAGCGTACCAAATCTTCTCCACCTTCCACTTTCTGGGATTCGAACCCTCGAGGTTACACAGGACGCCAAAGTCGACAGGGTGCAGTAGGTAGAAGGGGATATTGTACATGGCGAACAGCCACATTCGCCTGCGTTCAGAGAAGACACTTTGATACATGGCCAACAGACAGGACACACTTTGAACTTGCTGTTCTAATCAGGCCAGTTATTACCTTTGGTTAGTGCTGTTCAACAGCCCTGTACCCACGGGTATGGGGTTGGTGCCCAGACAGTCGCTAGGGTTAGAAGCACAGCCTGTAAACGTTGCGTTGTAGCTTTCACGCAGAATGTGACCCACCTTGAGAACAGACGACAACATCTTCACAAATACAACATCATTTAAAATCAATGGTTGCCAACATTTATATCACAGAGATTCCTTTATAGCTATCTTTCGTTATGTAGAAATAAAAGTATATATATATATATATATATATATATATATATATATATATATATATGCGTGCTTGTGTGTATGTGTCTGTATGGGTGTCTGTATTAAAAGATCATCAAATCTTTATTTACTGTCGCGCTTTGTTTTGTATGCTAATAAAACATTGTGTTAAACGTATGGTAGGATGACAATAAATATCTTACTTGAACATCGAGAGGTTGAAATATGTGTTCACTGATGGCATCAAAGTCCATTTTACTGAACAACCTGTGGGCCAGGGATTGGGGGTCAATTTATATAGGTGAGGGTCAAGTTATATAGGTGAGGGTCAATTTATATAGGTGAGGGTTAATTTATATAGGTGAGGGTCAATTTATATAGGTGAGGGTCAATTTATATAGGTTAGGGTCAAGTTATATAGGTGAGGGTCAATTTATATAGGTTAGGGTCAAGTTATGTAGGTGAGGGTCAATTTATATAGGTGAGGGTCAATTTATATAGGTGAGGGTCAATTTATATAGGTGAGGGTCAATTTATATAGGTGAGGGTCAATTTATATAGGTGAGGGTCAATTTATATAGGTGAGGGTCAATTTATATAGGTGAGGGTCAATTTATATAGGTGAGGGTCAATTTATATAGGTGAGGGTCAATTTATATAGGTGAGGGTCAAAATATATAGGACAAGTCTTAAACTATAGATAAAAGTATTTTTCTTTAAAGTCAATGAACTTCCTAAGCAAAACATTGCAGCAACACTGTCCCACAACAATTCACTAACAGCCGTAGACTCAAGCGCTTCCAATGTTCCTCGGGAATAGAGTGTATCTCTACTTTAAACAACAACTACATTTTTTCACCAATACTGTGAACACGTAGACAATCTACATTTCATACAAATGTCGAAATACATCCGAAAAACGGACATCCCACAAATATCTAAAGGCATCCTACATATGTTCCTAGATATGGTAAAAATCTTCATATTCCACAAGGATTCTTTTATTTCTACATCAATACACACACCACTTCCACACCAAACTACCCTTCCCCACACTACCCCACACCACACAAACCTTCCCCCACACAGACGCACATCACCGAATAAAACATTTAAAAATGTCAGCACCTCAAAGAGAACTCGACTGGGTTCCTTCTGTTTCTAATCTTAAGCAGGTCGCAACTTTTGACGCCAGGCAGAGGTCCACAGACATATTCTTCTACCACAGGGGGGTCAAGGTCACCACGATTCATCATCACACGTGCATACCTGGCAGGTTGCTTACCTGAAGCAAGATTTGTTGTCATTTGTCATCATTAGCGTGACATGACGTCAGCATTGTGACAGGGGGTCAATTGTGTGTCAATACGTCAATAGTGTGAAGTCAATAGTGTGACGTCAATACTAAAGAAATAAACAGGATCGAACTCTTATTTATTCGCTATGCCTGATAGAAATATTCTGTTCTTTGACAACAAGATTTGAGTATAATTCATTTAGGCGCGGTAAACATATACTGAGAAGCTTTAGAGACACCTCTTGGTGGCATATATAGAGATCTCAGCGTGTTTGACGAGAGAAGCTTTACTTAACACATTTCTAGAACGACACACGAAATTACCCATAGAATCCAGGAATTTGAGAACCTCTGATTTCTTAGGCAGGTACAGATCAGCCATGTAGATAAAGCTGGAGCTGACGGTGGCTGTGCTCGTGTTGGCGGCTCGGATATTAGGATCTTTCTCCAGGAACTTACGGAGCTGTAAACATATGGGTATCAATTGGGATATTAGGATCTTTCTCCAAGAACTTACGGAGCTGTAAACATATGGGTATCAATTGGGATATTAGGATCTTTCTCCAGGAACTTACGGAGCTGTAAACATATGGGTATCAATTGGGATATTAGGATCTTTCTCCAGGAACTTACGGAGCTGTAAATATATGGGTATCAATTGGGATGTTAGGATCTTTCTCCAGGAACTTACGGAGCTGTAAACATATGGGTATCAATTGGGATATTAGGATCTTTCTCCAGGAACTTACGGAGCTGTAAACATATGGGTATCAATTGGGATATTAGGATCTTTCTCCAGGAACTTACGGAGCTGTAAACATATGGGTATCAATTGGGATATTAGGATCTTTCTCCAGGAACTTACGGAGCTGTAAACATATGGGTATCAATTGGGATGTTAGGATCTTTCTCCAGGAACTTACGGAGCTGTAAACATATGGGTATCAATTGGGATATTAGGATCTTTCTCCAGGAACTTACGGAGCTGTAAACATATGGGTATCAATTGGGATATTAGGATCTTTCTCCAGGAACTTACGGAGCTGTAAACATATGGGTATCAATTGGGATATTAGGATCTTTCTCCAGGAACTTACGGAGCTGTAAACATATGGGTATCAGTTGGGATATTAGGATCTTTCTCCAGGAACTTACGGAGCTGTAAACATATGGGTATCAATTGGGATATTAGGATCTTTCTCAAGGAACTTACGGAGCTGTAAACATATGGGTATCAGTTGGGATATTAGGATCTTTCTCCAGGAACTTACGGAGCTGTAAACATATGGGTATCAATTGGGATATTAGGATCTTTCTCCAGGAACTTACGGAGCTGTAAACATATGGGTATCAATTGGGATATTAGGATCTTTCTCCAGGAACTTACGGAGCTGTAAACATATGGGTATCAATTGGGATATTAGGATCTTTCTCCAGGAACTTACGGAGCTGTAAACATATGGGTATCAATTGGGATATTAGGATCTTTCTCCAGGAACTTACGGAGCTGTAAACATATGGGTATCAATTGGGATATTAGGATCTTTCTCCAGGAACTTACGGAGCTGTAAACATATGGGTATCAATTGGGATATTAGGATCTTTCTCCAGGAACTTACGGAGCTGTAAACATATGGGTATCAATTGGGATATTAGGATCTTTCTCCAGGAACTTACGGAGCTGTAAACATATGGGTATCAATTGGGATATTAGGATCTTTCTCCAGGAACTTACGGAGCTGTAAACATATGGGTATCAATTGGGATATTAGGATATTTCTCCAGGAACTTACGGAGCTGTAAACATATGGGTATCAATTGGGATATTAGGATCTTTCTCCAGGAACTTACGGAGCTGTAAACATATGGGTATCAATTGGGATATTAGGATATTTCTCCAGGAACTTACGGAGCTGTAAACATATGGGTATCAATTGGGATATTAGGATCTTTCTCCAGGAACTTACGGAGCTGTAAACATATGGGTATCAATTGGGATATTAGGATCTTTCTCCAGGAACTTACGGAGCTGTAAACATATGGGTATCAATTGGGATATTAGGATCTTTCTCCAGGAACTTACGGAGCTGTAAACATATGGGTATCGATTGGGATATTAGGATCTTTCTCCAGGAACGTACGGAGCTGTAAACATATGGGTATCGATTGGGATATTAGGATCTTTCTCCAGGAACTTACGGAGCTGTAAACATATGGGTATCAATTGGGATATTAGGATCTTTCTCCAGGAACTTACGGAGCTGTAAACATATGGGTATCGATTGGGATATTAGGATCTTTCTCCAGGAACTTACGGAGCTGTAAACATATGGGTATCGATTGGGATATTAGGATCTTTCTCCAGGAACTTACGGAGCTGTAAACATATGGGTATCGATTGGGATATTAGGATCTTTCTCCAGGAACTTACGGAGCTGTAAACATATGGGTATCAATTGGGATATTAGGATCTTTCTCCAGGAACTTACGGAGCTGTAAACATATGGGTATCAATTGGGATATTAGGATCTTTCTCCAGGAACTTACGGAGCTGTAAACATATGGGTATCAATTGGGATATTAGGATCTTTCTCCAGGAACTTACGGAGCTGTAAACATATGGGTATCAATTGGGATATTAGGATCTTTCTCCAGGAACTTACGGAGCTGTAAACATATGGGTATCACTTTGGGTTATTAGGATCTTTCTCCAGGAACTTACGGAGCTGTAAACATATGGCTATCAATTGGGATATTAGGATCTTTCTCCAGGAACTTACGGAGCTGTAAACATATGGGTATCAATTGGGATATTAGGATCTTTCTCCAGGAACTTACGGAGCTGTAAACATATGGGTATCAATTGGGATATTAGGATCTTTCTCCAGGAACTTACGGAGCTGTAAACATATGGGTATCAATTGGGATATTAGGATCTTTCTCCAGGAACTTACGAAGCTGTAAACATATGGGTATCAATTGGGATATTAGGATCTTTCTCCAGGAACTTACGGAGCTGTAAACATATGGGTATCAATTGGGATATTAGGATCTTTCTCCAAGAACTTACGGAGCTGTAAACATATAGGTATCAATGGGGATATTAGGATCTTTCTCCAGGAACTCACGGAGCTGTAAACATATGGGTATTAATTGGGATATTAAGATCTTTCTCCATGAACTTACGGAGCTGTAAACATATGGGTATCAATTGGGATATTAGGATCTTTCTCCAGGAACTTACGGAGCTGTAAACATATGGGTATCAATTGGGATATTAGGATCTTTCTCCAAGAACTTACGGAGCTGTAAACATATGGGTATCAATTGGGATATTAGGATCTTTCTCCAGGAACTTACGGAGCTGTAAACATATGGGTATCAATTGCGATATTGGGATATTAGGATCTTTCTCCAGGAACTTACGGAGCTGTAAACATATGGGTATCAATTGGGATATTAGGATCTTTCTCCAAGAACTTACGGAGCTGTAAACATATGGGTATCAATTGGGATATTAGGATCTTTCTCCAGGAACTTACGGAGCTGTAAACATATGGGTATCAATTGGGATATTAGGATCTTTCTCCAGGAACTTACGGAGCTGTAAACATATGGGTATCAATTGGGATATTAGGATCTTTCTCCAGGAACTTACGGAGCTGTAAACATGGGTATCACTTTGGGTTATTAGGATCTTTCTCCAGGAACTTACGGAGCTGTAAACATATGGCTATCAATTGGGATATTAGGATCTTTCTCCAGGAACTTACGGAGCTGTAAACATATGGGTATCAATTGGGATATTAGGATCTTTCTCCAGGAACTTACGGAGCTGTAAACATATGGGTATCAATTGGGATATTAGGATCTTTCTCCAGGAACTTACGGAGCTGTAAACATATGGGTATCAATTGGGATATTAGGATCTTTCTCCAGGAACTTACGAAGCTGTAAACATATGGGTATCAATTGGGATATTAGGATCTTTCTCCAGGAACTTACGGAGCTGTAAACATATGGGTATCAATTGGGATATTAGGATCTTTCTCCAAGAACTTACGGAGCTGTAAACATATGGGTATCAATGGGGATATTAGGATCTTTCTCCAGTAACTCACGGAGCTGTAAACATATGGGTATTAATTGGGATATTAAGATCTTTCTCCATGAACTTACGGAGCTGTAAACATATGGGTATCAATTGGGATATTAGGATCTTTCTCCAGGAACTTACGGAGCTGTAAACATATGGGTATCAATTGGGATATTAGGATCTTTCTCCAAGAACTTACGGAGCTGTAAACATATGGGTATCAATTGGGATATTAGGATCTTTCTCCAGGAACTTACGGAGCTGTAAACATATGGGTATCAATTGCGATATTGGGATATTAGGATCTTTCTCCAGGAACTTACGGAGCTGTAAACATATGGGTATCTATTGGGATATTAGGATCTTTCTCCAAGAACTTACGGAGCTGTAAGCATATGGGTATCAATTGGGATATTAGGATCTTTCTCCAGGAACTTACGGAGCTGTAAACATATGGGTATCAATTGGGATATTAGGATCTTTCTCCAGGAACTTACGGAGCTGTAAACATATGGGTATCAATTGGGATATTAGGATCTTTTTCCAAGAACTTACGGAGCTGTAAACATATGGGTATCAATTGGGATATTAGGATCTTTCTCCAGGAACTTACGGAGCTGTAAACATATGGGTATCAATTGGGATATTAGGATCTTTCTAAAGGAACTTACGGAGCTGTAAACATATGGGTATCAATTGGGATATTAGGATCTTTCTCCAGGAACTTACGGAGCTGTAAACATATGGGTATTAATTGGGATATTAGGATCTTTCTCCAGGAACTTACGGAGCTGTAAACATATGGGTATCAATTGGGATATTAGGATCTTTCTCCAGGAACTTACGGAGCTACAAACATATGGGTATCAATTGGGATATTAGGATCTTTCTCCAGGAACTTACGGAGCTGTAAACATATGGGTATCAATTGGGATATTGGGATCTTTTCCAGGAACTTACGGAGCTGTAAACATATGGGTATCAATTGGGATATTAGGATCTTTCTCCAAGAACTTACGGAGCTTTAAACATATGGGTATCAATTGGGATATTGGGATCTTTTTCCAGAGCTGTAAACATATGGGTATCAATTGGGATATTAGGATCTTTCTCCAAGAACTTACGGAGCTGTAAACATATGGGTATCAATTGGGATATTAGGATCTTTCTCCAAGAACTTACGGAGCTGTAAGCATATGGGTATCAATTGGGATATTAGGATCTTTCTCCAGGAACTTACGGAGCTGTAAACATATGGGTATCAATTGGGATATTAGGATCTTTTTCCAAGAACTTACGGAGCTTTAAACATATGGGTATCAATTGGGATATTAGGATCTTTCTCCAGGAACTTACGGAGCTGTAAACATATGGGTATCAATTGGGATATTAGGATCTTTCTAAAGGAACTTACGGAGCTATAAACATATGGGTATCAATTGGGATATTAGGATCTTTCTCCAGGAACTAACGGAGCTGTAAACATATGGGTATTAATTGGGATATTAGGATCTATCTCCAGGAACTTACGGAGCTGTAAACATATGGGTATCAATTGGGATATTAGGATCTTTCTCCAGGAACTTACGGAGCTGTAAACATATGGGTATTAATTGGGATATTAGGATCTTTCTCCAGGAACTTACGGAGCTGTAAACATATGGGTATCAATTGGGATATTAGGATCTTTCTCCAGGAACTTACGGAGCTGTAAACATATGGGTATCAATTGGGATATTAGGATCATTCTCCAGGAACTTACGGAGCTGTAAACAAATGGGAATCAATTGGGATATTAGGATCTTTCTCCAGGAACTTACGGAGCTGTAAACATATAGGTATCAATTGGGATATTGGGATATTAGGATCTTTCTCCAGGAACTTACGGAGCTGTAAACATATGGGTATCAATTGGGATATTAGGATCTTTCTCCAGGAACTTACGGAGCTGTAAACATATGGGTATCAATTGGGATATTAGGATCTTTCTCCGGGAACTTACGGAGCTGTAAACATATGGGTATCAATTTGGATATTAGGATCTTTTTCCAGGAACTTACGGAGCTGTAAACATATGGGTATCAATTGGGATATTAGGATCTTTCTCCAGGAACTTACGGAGCTGTAAACATATGGGTATCAATTGGGATATTAGGATCTTTCTAAAGGAACTTACGGAGCTATAAACATATGGGTATCAATTGGGATATTAGGATCTTTCTCCAGGAACTTACGGAGCTGTAAACATATGGGTATTAATTGGGATATTAGGATCTTTCTCCAGGAACTTACGGAGCTGTAAACATATGGGTATCAATTGGGATATTGGGATCTTTTTCCAGGAACTTACGGAGCTGTAAACATATGGGTATCAATTGGGATATTAGGATCTTTCTCCAAGAACTTACGGAGCTGTAAGCATATGGGTATCAATTGGGATATTAGGATCTTTCTCCAGGAACTTACGGAGCTGTAAACATATGGGTATCAATTGGGATATTAGGATCTTTCTCCAGGAACTTACGGAGCTGTAAACATATGGGTATCAATTGGGATATTAATATCTTTTTCCAAGAACTTACGGAGCTGTAAACATATGGGTATCAATTGGGATATTAGGATCTTTCTCCAGGAACTTACGGAGCTGTAAACATATGGGTATCAATTGGGATATTAGGATCTTTCTAAAGGAACTTACGGAGCTATAAACATATGGGTATCAATTGGGATATTATGATCTTTCTCCAGGAACTTACGGAGCTGTAAACATATGGGTATCAATTGGGATATTAGGATCTTTCTCCAAGAACTAACGGAGCTGTAAGCATATGGGTATCAATTGGGATATTAGGATCTTTCTCCAGGAACTTACGGAGCTGTAAACATATGGGTATCAATTGGGATATTGCGATCTTTCTAAAGTAACTTACGGAGCTGTAAAAAATAAGGTTTAAAGTCACAAGGACTGGGATTTGTAACGTTCCGGGTTGCTTACCTCAGTCATCTCAGCTTTGGTCAAGTCATTGCTTACCTCAGTCATCTCAGCTTTGGTCAAGTCATTGCTTACCTCAGTCATCTCAGCTTTGGTCAAGTCATTGCTTACCTCAGTCATCTCAGCTTTGGTCAAGTCATTGCTTACCTCAGTCATCTCAGCTTTGGTCAAGTCATTGCTTACCTCAGTCATCTCAGCTTTGGTCAAGTCATTGCTTACCTCAGTCATCTCAGCTTTGGTCAAGTCATTGCTTACCTCAGTCGTTTCAGCTTTGGTCAAGTCATGAAACGGGCCAGGCTTTTGCGGCTCTTGCAGGTCGATGATGTTTCCATTTGTGTTGGCGCCTCCACATTCTGATGGTGTCTTTGGACAGCCACTGGCGGCCTGGGTCACAGAGCAACTAATCAGGGCTAGGAACACACACCACGTCGACACCATTTCTTGAGACTACACTGAAACAGAAAAAATCATATGAATATTATCTTAGAAAATAAAATCTAGCTATAAAAATGTGTTGGCGCTTTAAATTGAGTCAAATTAAGATTGGTGGATTCAAATTTTGCATTAAGAAACCAAATATTTGAGCCAAGTAGAGGAAGTATGAGCCAAGTAGAGAAAGTAAACATTTTCCGCATCTTTAGACACGCTGTCAATTATTTAGGAGACAGCTCCGAAACAAACAAGCCTTAAAGCCATGCAAGAATCATGGAGAGCAAAGAAAATCTCATGCAAGACCAAATGCAGACTTCTCAAAAGTAATTTCCATAGTGCTCAACTGTATGGCAGCGAGTGCTGGAACAACCGCAACCAGCAGATCACTGGACTCTTTACAAAATGCGTGTGAAGGATAAAAGGCATCCACTGGGCTAACACCGTCTCAAATGATGGATATTAGGAGAGATGAGAGTGGAAGCAGTTTGTGAACTAATCGAAATCATCAGATGGCGATGCATTGGTCAAGTTGTAAGAATGGTGTCTATGTCTAAGTCTGTATGGTGTCTATGTCTAATGCTGTATGGTGTCTATGTCTAATGTTGTATGGTGTCTATGTCTAATGTTGTATGGTGTCTATGTCTAATGCTGTATGGTGTCTATGTCTAATGTTGTATGGTGTCTATGTCTAATGTTGTATGGTGTCTATGTCTAATGTTGTATGGTGTCTATGTCTAATGTTGTATGGTGTCTATGTCTAATGCTGTATGGTGTCTATGTCTAATGTTGTATGGTGTCTATGTCTAATGTTGTATGGTGTCTATGTCTAATGTTGTATGGTGTCTATGTCTAATGCTGTATGGTGTCTATGTCTAATGTTGTATGGTGTCTATGTCTAATGTTGTATGGTGTCTATGTCTAATGCTGAATGGTGTCTATGTCTAATGTTGTATGGTGTCTATGTCTAATGCTGAATGGTGTCTATGTCTAATGTTGTATGGTGTCTATGTCTAATGATGTATATCACTTCTTACAAGCTTCTGAAAGTTTTTCTCATTAAAATGTGACGTCAGCGCCAGCTCACCTGACCAATCACGTGCCCCATGCCATCCTGTTAGCCAACATTTTACACTTGGATGTAGCAATGACGAAATTCATTTTTAACAATCAACTAGAATACTTAGTCTGAACTGTTATAATTAAAGTGGTATTTCTGTGTTTCTACCAAAGAATACATCAATAAATTAATAAACGTCTTTAAATAAATTTATTTTTAACATTTTGGTAAAAAAGAACATGATTCTCTACCTAAAAAGGAATTTTCAGCTCTACACATAGTGCAGAAGCTCTCTTCTAACTGAACAAACAAACGAAAAAAAATATACAAACTTATCCCTTTTAGTAGTATATAGATTGAGTAGCCCATTAATTTTTTTTTATTTGATAATCCCGAAATATCACTGAAAATTGAGTTCATAAGAATGTTAGCAATAAATCAGTCAATCAGACACTAATGCCAAAAGTTTATGACAAGAATAGATCTAGTGTGACAATGAAACCAATCTACAACAAACTAATGCCAAAATTGTATGACAAGAATAGATCTAGTGTGACAATGAAACCAATCTACAACAAACTAATGCCAAAATTGTATGACAAGAATAGATCTAGTGTGACAATGAAACCAATCTACAACAAACTAATGCCAAAATTTTATGACAAGAATAGATCTAGTGTGACAATGAAACCAATCTACAACAAACTAATGCCAAAAGTTTATGACAAGAATAGATCTAGTGTGACAATGAAACCAATCTACAACAAACTAATGCCAAAATTGTATGACAAGAATAGATCTAGTGTGACAATGAAACCAATCTACAACAAACTAATGCCAAAATTGTATGACAAGAATAGATCTAGTGTGACAATGAAACCAATCTACAACAAACTAATGCCAAAATTTTATGACAAGAATAGATCGCATGTGACAATGAAACCAATCTACAACAAACTAATGCCAAAATTTTATGACAAGAATAGATCGCATGTGACAATGAAACCACACTACAACGAACAAGCCAAGAAAGACTAACACACAAAATCACAAACGTACGCAAACAAATGGACATTGTGACCAAAACAAATTTCATAAAATGCGAAACACCACCTGAAACTACCGCCACCTGCCAGTGGTAAACTGCCAACTGTAAGGAAATTCTGGAATATTCTCCAACTGTTAGTCAGCTTTAAATACATTTACCAGTCACGTTTCAATTTTCTGATAAGATTTCTCATTTCAAACCTCCATTACTATCGGCAGTATTAGCATACTCAACACAATTAGCATAAATTATGTTTTATCATTTTAAATGTATACGTGTATACGTGTCGGCTAAGGGTTTTCAAAGTTGAACTTTTCCAAACCTGATTATAATCAGCATAATTTTAAAAAGTAGGTTTCCATTATCAAAGTAGGTCCTGCCTCTGATTTGTAGATGTTTTTTATTTTATTGGAGAAAAATAGTTTTGACGAGAATATTTTTCTACAATATTTTATCTGAGAAAAATAGTTTTGAAAAGAATATTTTTCTCCAATATTTTGTCTGAGAAAAATAGTTTTGACGAGAATATTTTTCTACAATATTTTGTCTGAGAATCCGACGCTAGAGAGATATCCAATGTCAAATCTAGAAAATAGTCACCTTTCTGCTTTTTAGTTTCTCTATAAATAGTCAAGCATTCAAAATTTTTAAAATAATGACAGAATTCTCAAAACAACAATCGTGATAGTAGCACTATCAAGCCTGAACTAATAAGTTAACGCCCAGACAGACTAACCTAACCTAACCTAACCTAACCTAACCTAACCTAACCTAACCTAACCTAACCTAACCTAACCTAACCTAACCTAACCTGACCTAACCTGACCTGACCTGACCTGACCTAACCTAACCTAACCTAACCTAACCTAACCTAATGACCTGACCTGACCTCACCTGACCTCACCTAACATGACCTGACCTGGCCTGGCCTGGCCTGGCCTGACCTGACCTGACCTGACCTGACCTGACCTGACCTGACCTGACCTAACCTAACCTAACCTAACCTAATCTAACATAAGATAACCTAACCTAACCTAACCTAACCTAACCTAACTAACCTAACCTAACCTAACCTAACCTAACCTAACCTAACCTAACCTAACCTAACCTAACCTAACCTAACCTAACCTGACCTGACCTGACCTGACCTGACCTGACCTGACCTGACCTAGCCTGACCTAACCTAACCTAACCTAACCTAACCTAACCTAACCTAACCTAACCTAACCTGACCTAACCTGACCTGACCTGACCTGACCTGACCTGACCTGACCTGACCTAACCTAACCTAACCTAACCTAATCTAACATAAGATAACCTAACCTAACCTAACCTAACCTAACCTAACCTAATGACCTGACCTGACCTGACCTGACCTCACCTAACATGACCTGACCTGGCCTGGCCTGGCCTGACCTGACCTGACCTGACCTGACCTAACCTAACCTAACCTAACCTAACCTAACCTAATCTAACATAAGATAACCTAACCTAACCTAACCTAACCTAACCTAACCTAACCTAATGACCTGACCTGACCTGACCTGACCTCACCTAACATGACCTGACCTGGCCTGGCCTGGCCTGACCTGACCTGACCTGACCTGACCTGACCTAACCTAACCTAACCTAACCTAATCTAACATAAGATAACCTAACCTAACCTAACCTAACCTAACCTAACCTAACTAACCTAACCTAACCTAACCTAACCTAACCTAACCTAACCTAACCTAACCTAACCTAACCTAACCTGACCTGACCTGACCTGACCTGACCTGACCTGACCTGACCTAGCCTGACCTAACCTAACCTAACCTAACCTAACCTAACCTAACCTGACCTAACCTGACCTGACCTGACCTGACCTGACCTGACCTAACCTAACCTAACCTAACCTAATCTAACATAAGATAACCTAACCTAACCTAACCTAACCTAATGACCTGACCTGACCTGACCTGACCTCACCTAACATGACCTGACCTGGCCTGGCCTGGCCTGACCTGACCTGACCTGACCTGACCTAACCTAACCTAACCTAACCTAACCTAACCTAACCTAACCTAATCTAACATAAGATAACCTAACCTAACCTAACCTAACCTAACCTAACCTGACCTGACCTGACCTGACCTGACCTGACCTGACCTGACCTGACCTGACCTAGCCTGACCTAACCTAACCTAACCTAACCTAACCTGACCTGACCTGACCTGACCTGACCTGACCTGACCTGACCTAGCCTAACCTAACCTAACCTAACCTAACCTAACCTAACCTAACCTAACCTAACCTGACTTGACCTAACCTAACCTAACCTAACCTAACCTGACCTGACCTGACCTGACCTAACCTAACCTAACCTAACCTAACCTAACCTGACCTGACCTGACCTGACCTGACCTAACCAAACCTAACCTGAACTGACCTGACCTGACCTAACCTAACCTAACCTAACCTAACCTAACCTGACCTGACCTGACCTAACCTAACCTAACCTAACCTAACCTAACCTAACCTGACCTGACCTGACCTGACCTGACCTGACCTAACCAAACCTAACCTGACCTGACCTGACCTGACCTGACCTGACCTAACATGACCTGACCTGGCCTGGCCTGGCCTGGCCTGACCTGACCTGACCTGACCTGACCTGACCTAACCTAACCTAACCTAACCTAATCTAACATAAGATAACCTAACCTAACCTAACCTAACCTAACCTAACTAACCTAACCTAACCTAACCTAACCTAACCTAACCTAACCTAACCTAACCTAACCTAACCTAACCTAACCTAACCTAACCTAACCTGACCTGACCTGACCTGACCTGACCTGACCTGACCTGACCTGACCTGACCTGACCTGACCTAGCCTGACCTAACCTAACCTAACCTAACCTAACCTAACCTAAACTTACCTAACCTAACCTAACCTAACCTAACCTTACCTAACCTAACCTAACCTTACCTAACATAACCTGACCTAACCTGACCTGACCTGACCTGACCTGACCTGACCTAACCTAACCTAACCTAACCTAACCTAACCTAATCTAACATAAGATAACCTAACCTAACTTAACCTAACCTAACCTAATGACCTGACCTGACCTGACCTGACCTCACCTAACATGACCTGACCTGACCTGGCCTGGCCTGACCTGACCTGACCTGACCTGACCTGACCTAACCTAACCTAACCTAACCTAACCTAATCTAACATAAGATAACCTAACCTAACCTAACCTAACCTAACCTAACCTGACCTGACCTGACCTGACCTGACCTGACCTGACCTGACCTGACCTGACCTAGCCTGACCTAACCTAACCTAACCTAACCTAACCTAACCTAACCTAACCTGACCTGACCTGACCTGACCTGACATGACCTGACCTGACCTAGCCTAACCTAACCTAACCTAACCTAACCTGACTTGACCTAACCTAACCTAACCTAACCTCACCTAACCTGACCTGACCTGACCTAGCCTGACCTAGCCTGACCTAACTTAACCTAACCTAATCTAACCTAACCTAACCTAACCTAACCTAACCTAACCTAACCTAACCTAACCTAACCTGACCTAACCTAACCTAACCTAACCTAACCTAACCTGACCTGACCTGACCTGACCTGACCTAACCTAACCTAACCTAACCTAACCTAACCTAACCTGACCTGACCTGACCTGACCTGACCTGACCTGACCTAACCAAACCTAACCTAACCTAACCTGACCTGACCTGACCTGACCTGACCTGACCTAACATGACCTGACCTGGCCTGGCCTGGCCTGACCTGACCTGACCTGACCTGACCTGACCTGACCTGACCTGACCTAACCTAACCTAACCTAACCTAATCTAACATAAGATAACCTAACCTAACCTAACCTAACCTAACCTAACTAACCTAACCTAACCTAACCTAACCTAACCTAACCTAACCTAACCTAACCTAACCTAACCTAACCTAACCTAACCTGACCTGACCTGACCTGACCTGACCTGACCTGACCTGACCTGACCTGACCTGACCTGACCTGACCTGACCTAGCCTGACCTAACCTAACCTAACCTAACCTAACCTAACCTAACCTAACCTAACCTAACCTTACCTAACCTAACCTAACCTAACCTAACATAACCTGACCTAACCTGACCTGACCTGACCTGACCTGACCTGACCTGACCTGACCTAACCTAACCTAACCTAACCTAACCTAACCTAACCTAATCTAACATAAGATAACCTAACCTAACTTAACCTAACCTAACCTAATGACCTGACCTGACCTGACCTGACCTCACCTAAATTGACCTGACCTGGCCTGGCCTGGCCTGACCTGACCTGACCTGACCTGACCTGACCTAACTTAACCTAACCTAACCTAACCTAATCTAACATAAGATAACCTAACCTAACCTAACCTAACCTAACCTGACCTGACCTGACCTGACCTGACCTGACCTGACCTAGCCTGACCTAACCTAACCTAACCTAACCTAACCTAACCTAACCTAACCTAACCTAACCTGACCTGACCTGACCTGACCTGACCTGACATGACCTGACCTGACCTAGCCTAACCTAACCTAACCTAACCTAACCTAACCTAACCTAACCTAACCTGACTTGACCTAACCTAACCTAACCTAACCTCACCTAACCTGACCTGACCTGACCTAGCCTGACCTAGCCCGACCTAACTTAACCTAACCTAACCTAACCTAACCTAACCTAACCTAACCTAACCTAACCTAACCTGACCTGACCTAACCTAACCTAACCTAACCTAACCTGACCTGACCTGACCTGACCTGACCTGACCTAACCTAACCTAACCTAACCCAACCTGACCTGACCTGACCTGACCTGACCTAACCTAACCTAACCTCACCTCACCTGACCTGACCTAACCTAACCTGACCTGACCTGACCTGACCTGACCTAACCTAACCTAACCTAACCTAACCTAACCTAACCTAACCTAACCTAACCTAACCTAACCTAACCTAACCTAACCTAACCTAACCTAACCTAACCTGACCTGACCTGACCTGACCTAACATGACCTGGCCTGGCCTGGCCTGACCTGACCTGTCCTTACCTGACCTGACCTGACCTGACCTGACCTAACCTAACCTAACCTAACCTAATCTAACATAAGATAACCTAACCTAACCTAACCTAACCTAACCTAACCTAACCTAACCTAACCTGACCTGACCTGACCTGACCTGACCTGACCTGACCTGACCTGACCTAGCCTGACCTAACCTAACCTAACCTAACCTAACCTAACCTAACCTAACCTAACCTAACCTAACCTGACCTGACCTGACCTGACCTGACCTAACCTAACCTAACCTAACCTGACCTGACCTGACCTGACCTGACCTAACCTAACCTAACCTAACCTAACCTAACCTGACCTGACCTGACCTGACCTAACCTAACCTCACCTCACCTGACCTGACCTAACCTAACCTGACCTGACCTGACCTGACCTAACCTAACCTAACCTAACCTAACCTAACCTGACCTGACCTGACCTGACCTAACATGACCTGGCCTGGCCTGGCCTGACCTGACCTGTCCTGACCTGACCTGACCTGACCTGACCTAACCTAACCTAACCTAATCTAATCTAACATAAGATAACCTAACCTAACCTAACCTAACCTAACCTAAACTAACCTGACCTGACCTGACCTGACCTGACCTGACCTGACCTGACCTGACCTGCCCTGACCTGACCTGACCTGACCTGACCTGACCTGACCTAATCTAACATAAGATAACCTAACCTAACCTAACCTAACCTGCTAATGTTCTACATAGTTTCATCAATTAAAACTTAATTAACTGACTTGCAAATAACAAAACAATCGGGTGTTAAGTTTAAATTTTTATTCTTTCCATCTTTTTCAAATGCCAAAATTTATATCATGTGAGAATAACTGGTTATGACAAAAAAAGATTGTTTTGATTTAGCAAGGTAGGTACATGTGATAGTTCAGTTTCATCAGGTTTGGTCTAATTTGAAGTTGAGTTCCATCAGGTTTGGTCTAGTTTCATGCAGTTTAGTCTAGTTCCATCGGGTGAAGTCCATCTTGTGACAAAAATTAAACCAACATTTCACAGAGAAACCTCATCTGTACTAGACAAAAATCGTCGTTCAAGGGGACGTAATACGTGTTGTAACTGACGCAGTTTTCTGCCCCTCCTCTGTTGTCTGGTTGTTCTGTGGGGAAATCATTGGACGAACAAAGATTATTAACATTTAATTAATCAGTTTACATACAAAGTTTATTAACATTCAAATAATCAGTTGACATACAAAGTTTATTAACATTTAATTAATCAGTTTACATACAAAGTTTATTAACATTCAATTAATAAATTTACATACAAAGATTATTAACATTCAATTAATCAGTTTACATACAAAGTTTAGTAACATTTAATTAATCAGTTTACATACAAAGTTTATTAACATTTAATTAATCAGTTTACATACAAAGTTTATTAACATTCAATTAATCAGTTTTCAAACAAAGATTATCAACTGCCAATTAATCAGTTTTCAAACAAAGATTATCAACATTCAATTAATCAGTTTACAAAAATTATCAACATTCAATTAACCAGGCTCTCTAGGCTACATCACCTCTCTAGGTTAAGGTACAACTGCTGAGGTACATTTCGGGTCAAATGATTGTCAACTCTACTGTGACGAGCCAATGTTTACACTGACCAGCCAATGTTTATACTGACCAGCCAATGTTTACACTGACCAGCCAATGTTTACACTGACCAGCCAATGCTTACACTGACCAGCCAATGTGTACTGACCTCGGTTGAATATAGTTCTCCTCCAAGCCTCGGTGATGTTGGCGCCATCGTCCACCCACCGGAAGTCGCCCTCGCTCTCGATGTCGTCCAGTCCGACCCAGAAGTTGAAGTTCAACGCCGCCCCAATCGACGTCAGGATAGACAACTTTTCCTGTGTTTTAACGGTGTACAGATTTCCTGCAAACCCTGGGGTACAAGAAAACTTGGCGTCATGCTGATAGGACCAGTGGCGTGCGTGCGTGCGTGCGTGCGTGCGTGCGTGTGTGTGTGTGTGTGCGTGTGTGCGCGCGTGTGTGTGTGTGTGTGTGTGTGTGTGTGTGTGTGTGTGTGTGTGTGTGTGTGTGTGTGTGTGTGTGTGTGTGTGTGTGTGTGTGTGTGTGTGTGTGTGTGTGTGTGTGTGTGTGTGTGTGTGTGTGTGTGTGTGTGTGTGTGTGTGTGTGTGTGTGTGTGTGTGTGTGTGTGTGTGTGTGTGTGTGTGTGTGTGTGTGTGTGTGTGTGTGTGTGTGTGTGTGTGTGTGTGTGTGTGTGTGTGTGTGTGTGTGTGTGTGTGTGTGTGTGTGTGTGTGTGTGTGTGTGTGTGTGTGTGTATGTTGAAGTGATTGAATGACAGGTACCCCTTATTCCTACACGGTTGTAGCCCCTGATTGTGTGTGCTGTGTGCTGTTTAATGAACGTGGAGTTTGAGAGTGGACGTGTGATAGAACCTGTGCCAATGTACGGTGGTTGGTTGCTGGTTAGACTGTGAAGATGATGTGGTGTGGACGTGTCTGCTGGACTTTGTTAGGCATTGTATTATTGTATGGTAGCTTGTATATTTATATTGTATCATAGCTTGTATAATTTATATTGTCCTGTATTATTTATATTGTCTCGCATCTTGTATTATATATATTGTATCATAGCTTGCATTATATATATTGTATCATAGCTTGTATTATTTATATTGTATCATAGCTTGTATAATTTATATTGTCTAGCAGCTTGCATTATTTATATTGTATCATAGCTTCTATTATTTATATTGTATCGTAGCTTGTATAATTTATATTGTCTCGCGTCTTGTATTATTTATATTGTCTATCAGCTTGCATTATTTATATTGTATCGTAGCTTGTATAATTTATATTGTGTTGTATTATTTATATTGTATCATATCTTGTATTATTTATATTGTCTAGCAGCTTGCATTATTTATATTGTCTATATTGTAGACAGCGGATCATACCTTCACATGTGGTTCTGGCAGTAGCGAAGTCCAAGAAATCAGGTGACATCCGGACACAAACCCTGACCTCGCCACTCTGCTGTAGGACGAAACCAGCCGCTGTGTCACACCAGACGTCTGGTGTCGTGTAGGTGTCGTGGTGGTCGAGGGCTAGAGGCGACAGTGTGGGCCAGAAACCTGCACGATTTTAAAGGCTCTCGTTAGGTCGGCCTGGGGCTACATGAATAGTCTCAATGTTTTAACGGGCAGTTTGGTCCAGGCATCAACTAACTCATCCGTCCAGTTGTATAGCCGTCCAGTTCTACAACCGTCCAGCCGTCCATTTGTATAGCCGTCCAGCCGTCCAGCCGTACAGTCTTACAGCCGTCCAGTTGTACAGTCGTCCAATTGTACAGTCGTCCAATTGTACAGCCGTACAGTTGTACAGCCGTCCAGCCGTCAAGTTGTACAACCGTCCAATTGTACAGCCGTCCAGTTGTACAGTCGTCCAGTTGTACAGCCGTCCAGTTGTACAGCCGTCCAGTTGTACAGCCGTCCAGTTGTACAGCCGTCCAGCCGTACAGTTGTATAGCCGTCCAGTTGTACAACCGTCCAGCCGTCCAGTTGTATAGCCGTCCAGTTGTACAACCGTCCAGCCGTCCAGTCGTATAGCCGTCCAGTTGTAAGACCATGTCTACAACTGACCTAATTTGCAGCACGTGTCTAATTGGTTGAAGACAAAGCTGTAGCACAGGTGAGTTAGTGAGCAGGTACTGGCACAGGTGAGAAGACTTGGTCTCTTCATCTCCACCCCCAGCGGCACAAACTGCAGGGTGGGGTTTCTGAGTGGCGTGCAGCTGTGGCTGGTAACTTCATAGTCTGCAATAGCTGGGGAACATTAGGGGAACCTTAGCCTGCAATAGCTGGGGAACATAGGGGAACTTCATAGTCTGCAATAGCTGGGGAACATTAGGGGAACCTTAGCCTGCAATAGCTGGGGAACATAGGGGAACTTCATAGTCTGCAATAGCTGGGGAACATTAGGGGAACCTTAGCCTGCAATAGCTGGGGAACATAGGGGAACTTTAGTCTGCAATAGCTGGAGAACATTAGGGGAACTTTAGTCTGCAATAGATGGGGAACATAGGGGAACTTTAGTCTGCAACAGCTGGGAAACATAGGGGAACTTCATAGTCTGCAACAGCTGGGGAACATTAGGGGAAATTCATAGTCTGCAACAGCTGGGGAACATTAGGGGAACTTCATAGTCTGCAACAGCTGGGGAACATTAGGGGAACTTCATAATCTTTAACGGCTAAACAAGGAACATCATGGAAGCTGTACAATCTGCACAAGGTAGACCGGGAACATTAAGGGAACATTTAGAGAACAATACAGACTAGATTTAGACGGTTGTGTTCAAATGAAGGAACATTTTATAGTAAGTATCCTAATGTAACCATTGTCCAGCCGCCTTGACTTTCCCTCCCAAACGTGAATCTGGACTTTAGCTGAGGATCTCAACTCGAGAGTTTCCAATTTCCAATTGTGGGCTAATTATTTACTAATTACCATTTCATTTAACAATGTTAAGATAAAGCTAAATATTTAAATCCCTTTAGAATCGCCCAGTCAAGTATCGCCCAGTGAAGTATCGCCCAGTCGAGTATCGCCCAATCGAGCATCGCCCCAGTCAAGTATCGCCCAATCGAGTATCGCCTCAGTCAAGTATCGCCCAGTCGAGTATCTCCCCAATCGAGTATCGCCCAGTCGAGTATCGCCCCAGTCGAGTGTGGTCCACTTGTCATGTACCCGCTATAGGGCTTGTAAGTAGGTCATCAACTTCTTATCATAGTTGCCATCTAGTATTTTTAAACCAAGTGTGAATATGTTTATTAAATCGGTAAAAAAAAAGGACTAAAAGTTACGCTATTGTTAAGTTATTTAAAACCGTACAAACTGATAATGATAGTTTGAGAATTCACCTGACCCTGGCTAACGAGATCTCAAATTTTCAGAGTTTCTTCCAGGCTCTCTTCGGGGGGGGGGGGGGGGGGGCGAAGCCCCCCCCGAAAAAATTTTACCGCCCCCCCCCCCCCCCCCGAACGAAATGAAATGTATATACTTTATATAGAAAATATATACTTTTAACAGTGTCCGCCCCCCCGAAGAAAGTTTACCGCCCTCCCGAAAATTTCAAGTGCCCCCCCGGAGAAAAAAGTCTGGAAGAAACACTGCTTACAAGCCCTATACGAAAGCCATTTACTATCTTGAAAGCAGAAAAAAAACGACTTACCTGTGCAGACAAAATACAACAACAGGCAGGTAGGTGTAAACATTAGGGTCAGGTGACACCAGCCTTCTCGTACGCCAACTTTACCTGAGGAGTTCAGTGAAGTTGATATTTGATGGGTTAGTTCAGCGGTGAAGTTGATATTTGATGGTGTAGTTCAGCGGAGAAGTCGATATTTGATGGTGTAGTTCAGCGGTGAAGTTGATATTTGATGGTTTAGTTCAGCGGTGAAGTTGATATTTGATGGTTTAGGTCATAAAGAGGCTTTAGAAACCTTCAGATGAACCAAAGAGACGCCAATCACATTAAAACTGTGCCAGATGCTGATCTGGAGAACTTTGGCAAACAAATTTTATATTGTACTCCAACTCCAATTAATTCCGCGGCCCCAAATTTTACCATCTATTACATTTAACTTTTACTTTTATTTCATTTAACTTTTACTTTTATTTCTATATAACTTTACACTTGATTCATTACACTTTATATTTTTAATGCAATTTTCATTTTGACTGTAATTTTACTTGAACTGCAACTGTAAATTTAATTTGGACAACTTATATTTTAATATCAATTGAATTTCTACTTAAATTTCTACTGTAAACTTTCTTTCAACTGTCTCTACGTAAGTCCTTGTGGCGTGGTCTAAAACATTGTGTGCCCCTATGGCGAGGTCTAACAGATTGTGTGCCCCTATGGCGAGGTCTAAAAGATTGTGTGCCCCTCACGGTGAGGTCTAAAAGATTGTGTGCCCCTCACGGTGAGGTCTAAAACATTTTATACGTCCGTGGCGAGGTCTGTAGCACCCCTCACCGCTCTAACATGTAGTCAACAAACATAGTTGGATGGAACTTGTCGTGTAGCCAACAAACATGGTTGGATGTTGGAAGAACTTCATGTCGTGTTAGTCTCCACTCGCGAGAAGAGCTTTCAGCTGTTTATTCAAACTAAATCAATCAATCGCTTCGAGAATTTAGCGTTTAAAAGCAATCAGAAGGCTTGGTGCAATCTTTGTGATTGAATACAATTTTAATTAGCAGGTGGACATTATATTTACTAACTCATTAAAGAACATGTGTTTAACAATAAGCTAACCTGTGGTTAATTAACTAAAGCTAATTATTTTATGTTAGCATTATTAAGTAAATACATGATGTGGCAATCAGTGTTTCTTTCATACATTTCTTTAATTTCTCTGAGGGAGGTCGGAGGGGAGGTCGGAGGGGCCACTGGTTAAAGTATAAATTGTGTAGGTAAATTATATTTCGTTAGGGGGGCGGGGCGGGCGGTGCCACCCCCCCCCACACACACACACACACACAGTAGAGACATCTCAAAGATATAAGCAGCTATTCACTTCCCACCTTTAGGGCATATGTCAAAATAGTGCTTCTACCTTTTGGGCTATTGTCACAATCATGTGCCCTTACTTTAGTGCAGATGTTACATTCATGTGCCCATCTTGAGGGCGTATATCACAATGAGTGCGGCGCAACATTGAAGGACGGGGCATCTAATAGGGCATCATAATTAGTGCCCAAATCACAAGATGCTTTTTCAAGAGGCAGTATTGTCATTTTGCCAAAAATCAAATGGGCACACGATTTCTTGTGTGTTGCATCTAGGCACCTGATAAGATAGATTGTAAAATCCTATCCTTGGATTCCTTTCAATTTTTCCATGAGCTCTGATATCCTCAAATGGTTCTCTATTTATCGTGTCTAAAATACCGATAGCATAATGTACCGTATCAAGTAGCTGGACGAAAGCTCATGCATGCTACATTATCTTATTCACTGGCTTCTGTCCAACTTAGAGTGATTTCTGATATTTTCGTGTGATTCCTGATATTTCCGTTTCCCCAACAACAACAACAAAAAAAAAAAAAACAATTTATTTCTCTTAATTCCTCCGTAATGAACGGCAACTGGCGATCAAAATTTCGACCAAACCTTTTTTGTTGGTCAACACTCGACATACACATTGTGACATAAAATGTTGCTTGATCAAATGTTTCATTTAATTTTTTTAAAAATAATCAAGGCTGTCTTTACAAAGCACTAATTTTCTCGCTATATAATACACATAGCTTGCGTTAATATGTTGCGGTTTTTTTTTTTTTAGAAATCGGAAATAGCGTAAATTACTACTTCCGGTCATTAGAAATTATACAAAATTTGACCGAAGGCAGAGAATTATATCGTTCACTTACATATAAAATTTCATTAATCTAACTGAAACAGTACTCAAGGTATAAGCTTTTGAAAAATTGAAAGTAGATTAAGTTCCACTTCTAATTACCGGGAATAGCTCAAAAGTTGATACAGAAATACAAATTTGATATAATACTTATATATGAAATTTCATCAACCTACCTGTAACGGTACTTAAGTTATCGTGTTCACAGACACACATACACACACACACACACACACACACATACACACACACACACACAAACACACTGACAAAATTTCAAAATTATGTTTTTCCGATTCAGTGAGGTGTAAAACATCGAGATTTACAAAAATCTCAATTTTTTCCCCACGATTACAATATTTCTTCTATACTTCGTATACGACAAAGTAAAAATTTACTTTAAGAAAAAGTTAAGGGAGACTACTCTCGCTGCTTTTTCTACTAATCATTGCCAGTTCAAATAATGTATTTTTATTTTCAATTTTTTTATTAATTGAATAAAATTAGTGATAATATAGAAAAACTGTATTTCACTAATACCATAACACATAAGGGCATCTTCTAGAGCAGGGGTCTCCAAACTTTTCAGTCCGAGGGCCGCATTAACTATCAAATTTCAGTTCGGGGGCCAGTTTCTTCCAGGCATGTCTTTGATTTTTCTGGGCAAATTTCTTCAGCCATCACCAACAAACGTTTTTTCCGTGGACAAAAAGATCTCCGCGGGCCGGATAAGAGGACCTCGCGGGCCGCATCCGGCCCGCGGGCCGTAGTTTGGAGACCCCTGTTCTAGAGCAAGAACATAAGGTATAATAGTAGGTCAAGACTAGAAATGTGTCTGAAACTGAAAGACGTTTAAAACATAAATAAATGGATGGTAAACATCTACGGGAGTTAACCATGAAAAACATAATCTAGGAGCAGGCCAAAGCAGTTGTCTCCTATTAAATAGATCTACATTGACATGAAGTAATTCAGTAGTTCAGACGTTCACTTTATCATCCGCTGTGAGAAAGTTGGCCAAACAATATTGTCATGAGGGCGTGCCCAGCAACAGTGACGTAGCAATCATGTTACCATGGTGGATTAAATAAATTAATAAATAAATAAATCGAGCCCTTGCAATAACTGTCGCGATTGGAAAAAATGTTTTAAATGACTTGATCTAGTATGAGAAAGATATTTTGGTTTGAGCTCAGTTGTCAAAAAATATTTTCGAATGTAACAAGCTTCTATTGCTGCAGTTAGTTTTAATTTTAATTTTTTATTTAAAATTATGGCCAATTAAACGCTGAAAGGTTAATTAAAGTAAGTAGTCCCACGTGAATGTGTTAGTTAAGTAAGAGAATTTTGAAACTTTTTTAGCAAAATATGAATGTTGATATAAGGGAAAATGTGGTTTTATAAATATTTATTTTCTATAAACTTGCGTTAAATTTCTAATTGATAGCATTTATCCTGAAAATATATTTACATTGAAAAGAAGCAAAATATTTTGTCAAGCGAATAGGTATATAACCTAGTAAGAGTAAATTCTTTAATGAAATAAAATCGGAAAGACCTAATTAAATATGTTATGCTCTTCTTCTTCTTCTTCTTCGTTCTTAATTTTTAATGTTGGAAGGGATCGAGCATTATTTACCAGAGTGTTTGAATTCGAGACTTTTTTTTTCGAAATTTAGCCGAATCGACCACGCCTTCATTACAATTAAAGATTACGTGTCAACTGGTTATGACCATTGACTCCGATTTCAGCCTGCTTTCTTTTTGGATTTGCTTCCATAGCCTTTGTCCAGTCAAGAGCAAACTACAAGGCAGCAGTTGTTTGATTTTGGAGTTGTCTCTCCTAGAAGAGTGGCTGTCCCAAGCTAACGAGCCTAATCTCTTCGGGGAGGGGGGGGGGGAGGGAGAAAGTCTACCGCGCCCCCCCCCCCCACGAACGAAAAGGAATTTATATAGTAAAAATGTAGACCGCCCCCCCCCCCAAAAAAATATCAAGTGCCCCCCCCCCCCCCGGAGAAAAAAGTCTGGAAGAAACGCTGATCAGTTATTTTCCCTACTTTAGATATCTATAGCTCCCACTACCGCGCCCACTTGTGTTGTTTATTTAGGTTACCCTGGCATTAGGTCACGTGAACAATGGCAGGTTAAAAATAGACACACAAGGGGAAACAGCAGTTAGGTTTAGGCTTAATAAAAATCCTTGCAGTAATCGACTATTTTCTGCTAAAACGATACTTGTGCATATTTTATAGCTGTAAGGTACAAGAAGAGGTCTAATTATCTTTAAATTAATCGACCTCAGACCCGAAACAATTTTAAAGAAATTCTTGACATCGTCTATGGGGTCTACGGTTACAGGCGGTGATGAAATATTGGCATCAACAAGGGCAGGCAACTCTGAATTTTTTCAGTTCCCTCCCCTGCCCCAGCACGTGACCGCCCTATTGACGGGCCAGGATCACGAAATCTGGCCATTAGCGCAGGCCATGACGCCAGCCACCAAACTGTCTTGGATTATGACACCCCATCTTCAGCATCCGGTAGGTTTTCCTTCCGTCTTTTTTATATAGACACACCCACACACTCACCCACACACCCACCCACACACCCACCCACACACCCACCCACACACATACACGAAACCCCAAAACAATTACTCGATTCACCCTCACGATACACCCACCCAATACAAACACCCACATGATAGACACACCCATACGATACACCCACACCCACAAGATACAATTGACCAAATTCACCCACACTACACCCACACAACACCCACACAACACCCACACAACACCCACACAACACCCACACAACATCCACACAACACCCACACAACACCCACACAACAGCCACACAACACCCACACAACAGCCACACAACACCCACACAACATCCACACAACACCCACACAACACCCACACAACACCCACACAACACCCACACAACACCCACACAACAGCCACACAACACCCACACAACATCCACACAACACCCACACAACAGCCACACAACAGCCACACAACACCCACACAACACCCACACAACACCCACACAACACCCACACAACACCCACACCTACCACACAACACCCACACAACACCCACACAACACCCACAACTACCACACAACACCCACACAACACCCACACAACACCCACACACACCCACACGACACCCACACAACACCCACACAACACCCACACCTACCACACAACACCCACACAACACCCACACAACACCCACACAACACCCACACAACACCCACACAACACCCACACAACAGCCACACAACAGCCACACAACAGCCACACAACACCCACACAACACCCACACAACACCCACACCTACCACACAACACCCACACAACACCCACACAACAGCCACACAACACCCACACAACATCCACACGACACCCACACAACACCCACACAACACCCACACCTACCACACAACACCCACACAACACCCACACAACACCCACACCTACCACACAACACCCATACAACACCCACACAACACCCACACACACCCACACGACACCCACACAACACCCACACAACCCCCACACAACACCCACACACACCCACACGACACCCACACAACACCCACACAACACCCACACAACACCCACACAACACCCACACAACACCCACACCTACCACACAACACCCACACAACACCCACTCAACACCCACACCTACCACACAACACCCACACAACACCCACACAACACCCACACAACGCCCACACAACACCCACACAACACCCACACCTACCACACAACACCCACACAAAACGTACACAACACCCACACAACACCCACACAACACCCACACAACACCCACACAACACCCACACAACACCCACACAACACCCACACAACACCCACACAACGCCCACACAACACCCACACAACACCAACACAATGACGTCACACTAGCTGGTGTGGGCTTGTGACGATAGCGGGGGGGGAGGGGTTGTGCAAGTTGTCAAATTGTGACTGATCAAGTTACGCCAGCTATAATGTAGACTGGTACAGTGCACCACGTCACAACTGGTCAGTGCACCACGTCACAACTGGTCAGTGCACCACATAATACTGGTCAGTGCACCACGTCACAACTGGTCAGTGCACCACGTCACAGCTGGTCAGTGCACCACGTCACAACTGGTCAGTGCACCACATAATACTGGTCAGTGCACCACGTCACAACTGGTCAGTGCACCACGTCACAACTGGTCAGTGCACCACGTCACAACTGGTCAGTGCACCACGTCACAACTGGTCAGTGCACCACATAACACTGGTCAGTGCACCACGTCACACTGGTCAGTGCACCACATCACACTGTTCAGTGCACCACGTCACAAGTGGTCAGTGCATCTAAACACCATGTATTCCTTTTAGTATCATAAACTTGTTGGCGAGTCAAAAGACAAACAATTTTTCTTTCAGATTTCCTATCAAAATTTAATCATTTCATAAGAGCTAAGTTTGTTCCTAATCCCAAGTTGAACAAGAGACGTCTGGTCAGGTGCGGCTATTGCACGTCAGGTAGAGACCTGGGGTGGGGATGCTGGACTGTGGGACAGGTGGGTCTCCTGAGTGGGTCTCCTGAGTGTGGCGCGTCATTTGCTGCTGCCCAATTCTTGGGAATCTGTGCTGCTTGATACCAAACTGCAAAAACACAAGAAACGTGTGTGTAAGAATGTGTGCTACAAACGTGTACTACACATGTGTACCTAAGTGTGTGTGCTCGTGTGTGTGTATGTGCGTTTGTTTAAACGTGTGGGCGTGCACGCATATGTTTGTTCGTGTATGTACGTGGTGTGTACGTATGTGACACATGTGTACATTTAGGAGCGTCTGTTGAATTTGGCTTTTGAGGACGTCACTGAACCAGCCGTATACGTCTGACTGTGCTTTAAGACGTCACTGAACCAGCCGTATACGTCTGACTGTGCTTTAAGACGTCACTGAACCAACCGTGTACGTCTGGTTGTATTCCCGATGACGAGGCACAAAGTCCTACACAGCTAAACACGCATGCGCTACCATCTATGTAATTCATTTGAGGCGAAACGTGACAATTATCTTGACGCTAAACGTGACACGGAATTTAGACAAGTAAAGACCATGTACACACCAGGTGGTATGTACATGGTGTGGTGTGTACATGGTGTGTACATGGTGCGGTGTGTACATGGTGTGTTCGGGGTGTGTACATGGTGTGGTGTGTACATGGTGTGTACATGGTGTGGTGTGTACATGGTGTGGTGTGTACATGGTGTGTACATGGTGCGGTGTGTACATGGTGTGTTCGGGGTGTGTACATGGTGTGGTGTGTACATGGTATGTGTACATGGTGTGGTGTGTACATGGTGTGTACATGGTGTGGTGTGTACATGGTGTGTGTACATTGTGTGTACATGCTGTGGTGTGTACATGGTGTGGTGTGTACATGGTGTGTACATGGTGTGTTGTATACATGGTGTGGTTTGTACATGTTGTGTTGTGTACATGATGTGGTGTGTACATAATGCGGTGTGCACCCACCTCTCACAGAGCGGATACCCCTCGATGCCTGTGACGGAGCAGAGCCTGGGTCTTGTGTCCATCTGAGCCAGCTTTTGGACTGAGAAAAATTGTTCCACGGGGATGTCCAGGGCTCGGCTGGTGCGAAAATCTGAGAATATCTCATCGTCTGCAGACATAAGGAAACAAAATCTGAGAATATCTCATCGTCTGCAGACATAAGGAAACAAAATCTGAGAAAATCTCATCGTCTGCTGACATAAAAAACAAAATCTGAGAAAATCTCATCGTCTGCTGACATAAAAAACAAAATCTGAGAAAATCTCATCGTCTGCAGACATTCAAAGAAAAAACACAACCCAGTTAGAGTATAGTCCTTGCAGAACATGGGGCTTGTGCTGTGCGGGTTCAGATACTGTTGCCTAAGTGTCATTATCATGTCCTTTTGTTGTCACGTTCGATGTCCACGTCTTGATTTGACACATTGATCTATCAGTCACGTGATACTGACCTAAAAATAAAGGCGACCTTGACATTGTCCTCTTGCCGAACCTGCCCTGAGGTCGCCACTTGATTCTCTTGGTCTGACCGTTGCAGTAGCTGACGGTCAAGGCCACAACAAGCAGGCAGCAGGCCACCAGGGTCATCTGTGACGTCATCATCTCTAGAGGTCTGCGGGCAACAAACATAACATCACGTGATGCTGGGGGTACAGGCTAATGTTTGGTTGTTTACATTAAGAAACATCTCTACTATACACCTGTACCTTACCATCACACACCTGCACCAGCACACACAGGTACCATCACACACCTGTACCTTACCATCACACACCTGTACCTTACCATCACACACCTGTACCTTACCATCACACACCTGTACCTTACCATCACACACCTGTACCTTACCATCACACACCTGTACCTTACCATCACACACCTGTACCTTACCATCACACACATGTACCTTACCATCACACACATGTACCTTACCATCACACACCTGTACCTTACCATCACACACCTGTACCTTACCATCACACACCTGTACCTTACCATCACACACCTGTACCTTACCATCACACACCTGTACCTTACCATCACACACCTGTACCATCACACACCTGTACCTTACCATCACACACCTGTACCTTACCATCACACACCTGTACCTTACCATCACACACCTGTACCTTACCATCACACACCTGTACCTTACCATCACACACCTGTACCTTACCATCACACACCTGTACCTTACCATCACACACCTGTACCATCACACACCTGTACCTTACCATCACACACCTGTACCATCACATACCTGCACCTGTACCATCACACACCTTATTATCACACACCTGTACCTACCATCATTCACGTTTCACTAAATAATACAATACATCTTTAGCATTAATTCATACATTTTGCGAGTGTTAAAATTGGTTTATTCTAATATTTGCATTACAACAAATCAATCCACACGCCAATATTCGATTTTAGCACAATCATTTTGGTTATTTGCTGTTTTTTTTAAATTTTGTAATCAAGCAAAAAAAAACTGATTTTTCTTTTTAAAAAAAGCGAACCAAATAAAGCATTGTAAAACTGACGGCGAACAAACAGTGTCTGGACATCTTGAACTAGGCCCTAGGCCCATCCAATCTGCCCCAACCTCAATCAATTAGAGAATAGTTGGATGAAATTTTAAACATCAATAACTTCGAGAATACAGAACCATAATTAAACTATCTGAACGGGCGACTCAAATTTCTTGCAACACTAGACAACTGAAACTCCGTGAACTGATACAAAATAAGAAATGTTAATTAAAGGTTAATGAAATGTTAATTAACTTATTTTTACATTGTAACTATCGGAATTGAATTGATAAAGATGTTTTAATTGAAGCCTTCGATAAAATAGCGCCAATGAATGTAAATGGTGTATCGTAGCTGAAGTATCGTAGCTGGTGTATCGTAGCTGACGTATCGTAGCCTCTGTATCGTAGCATTTTGTATCGAAGATAGAATATAGAAGCCGCGGTATCGTAGCTAGTGTATCGTGGCTGATGTAAGATGTTTTGGCAGTTTGTGTAATGTGTAGCCAACTGATTGGTTTTTATGACTTTAAATTTTAATTCAGAAGTACGATTTAATCTACATTTTTAGAATCAGCTCGACTAAATCCCTACCTAGGAAACAAAGAAATCTCTGGGCACCGAGAAACGTTTCAAGCTTGGCTGAAAAATGGCTGGAAGAAATTGTCAACAATTTTCAACAAGAGGTTTTACACTCCAGATATTTGAGTTGAGTTTTCAACGGTCACGTGATTCCCGACTGATGAATTGATTACCACTTGTACTGGCCGTGAATCAGAACTCATTAATTGATTTCAAAGCTCTCCGCGTTCAAAGCTGACTTCAAAAAAATATCCTTCAACAAAACATCGACATCAGAAGACAACTTGACAGGATAAAAAGCTGTCAAAAAGATTCTATTTAGTCTTTTGTTGATGGGTGGGGCGCCGGGGTGGGTGGGGCTCGGGGTGGTGGTGGGGCTCAGGTTGGGGGTAGTCCAAACCTACGTGAGGGATGGGAATAGTTGAGATGCAGGTTTCCTCAGAGTTTCCTCGGGGTTTTGTCTGGGTTTTTTCTGGGGTTTTTCATAGTTTCCGCGGGTTTTCTTCGGGTTTTCTCATGGTTTTCACAGGGTTTTCTCAGGGATCCTAAGGGTTTTCACAAAGCAGAGCTTTCTATTTCGTGGGCCATCTTTAGCAGAAGATTCTAGTTTGTGGGCCATCTAGAGCAGAAGGTTCTAGTTTGTGGGCCGGCTCTAGCCACCTATAACGTAAACACCTGGATGGTACTGAGTCAGGTACCAGACATTGACACATTTTTTTTATGAATGGGTTTCACATCAAGATTTTGACTGAAGTAAAGAAAAAAACTTTCAAATACTTTTTTCTCCGTGAAAAATTAATCTGAAGGTGAAAAAAAAATCCAGAAACTTCTCCCCCGAAGACCACCAACCCAGCATCAGTCGAGAATTGGTGATTAAAGTTTGGTCGATAGGGCCGTACACGCGATGGTCCGAGATTAAAAGACTATAGGATATCAGGCGAGTCTTCATGATATTGTCAGAGATAATAGCTGTCAGTGGTAGCGGGCAGACGATGGTGGAGCTACCAAGTCGTCTGCTGAGAAACGGTGACTAACCGTTGCAGATCAATGACGTCATTTCATTATCTCACTGAACCTGATCACGTGACAGAAAGAAGTTTTGAACCTTAGACCTCTGGCTTGCCCCTGCTTGTGTTTGCTTGTGTTTGCTTGTGTTTGCTTGTTTGCTTTTGTTTGCTTGTGTTTGCTTGTGCTTGCTTGTGTTTGCTTGTGTTTGCTTGTGTTTGCTTGTGTTTGCTTGTGTTTGCTTGTGTTTGCTTGTGTTTGCTTGTGTTTGCTTGTGTTTGCTTGTGTTTGCTTGTGTTTGCTTGTGTTTGCTTGTGTTTGCTTGTGTTTGCTTGTGTTTGAATGTGTTTGCTTGTGTTTGCTTGTGTTTGCTTGTGTTTGCTTGTGTTTGCTTGTGTTTGCTTGTGTTTGAATGTGTTTGCTTGTGTTTGCTTGTGTTTGCTTGTGTTTGCTTGTGTTTGAATGTGTTTGCTTGTGTTTGAATGTGTTTGCTTGTGTTTGCTTGTGTTTGCTTGTGTTTGCTTGTGTTTGCTTGTGTTTGCTTGTGTTTGCTTGTGTTTGCTTGTGTTTGCTTGTGTTTGCTTGTGTTTGCTTGTGTTTGCTCGTGTTTGCTTGTGTTTGCTTGTGTTTGCTTGTGTGTTTGCTTGTGTTTGCTTGTGTTTGCTTGTGTTTGCTTGTGTTTGCTTGTGTTTGAATGTGTTTGCTTGTGTTTGCTTGTGTTTGAATGTGTTTGCTTGTGTTTGCTTGTGTTTGCTTGTGTTTGCTTGTGTTTGCTTGTGTTTGAATGTGTTTGCTTGTGTTTGCTTGTGTTTGCTTGTGTTTGCTTGTGTTTGAATGTGTTTGCTTGTGTTTGCTTGTGTTTGCTTGTGTTTGCTTGTGTTTGCTTGTGTTTGCTTGTGTTTGCTTGTGTTTGCTTGTGTTTGCTTGTGTTTGCTACTCAGATTGTACATGACTGTGTACCTCGTCTTAGGGTGGGGTGTTTTAGGATGGGGTGGGGTGTTTTAGGATGGAGTGGGGTGTTTTAGGATGGGGTGTGGTGTTTTAGGATGGGGTGGGGTGTTTTAGGATGGGGTGTGGTGTTTTAGGATGGGGTGGGGTGTTTTAGGATGGAGTGGGGTGTTTTAGGATGGGGTGGGGTGTTTTAGGATGGGGTGGGGTGTTTTAGGATGGGGTGGGGTGTTTTAGGATGGGGTGTGGTGTTTTAGGATGGGGTGGGGTGTTTTAGGATGGAGTGGGGTGTTTTAGGATGGGGTGGGGTGTTTTAGGATGGGGTGGGGTGTTTTAGGATGGGGTGGGGTGTTTTAGGATGGGGTGAGGTGTTTTAGGATGTGGTGTGGTGTTTTAGGATGGGGTGTCGTGTTTTAGGATGGGGTGGGGTGTTTTGAGGTTTTCCACGATGTGGTGTGACGTAGTGCGAAGTGTAATGTTTTGTGATATTTGTTCGAGGTTTTATAATTTACAACTCTTGTAACTTAAGAGATTAAATGTTTATTCGCCCACTGACTTGAAGATATCCTTAAAACAACTTTAAGAGTCTAAATCCTAAATGAGCAGATGTCAAACATTGGATGTCAGTCTGTCATATACTGGATGTCATGTTCACATGCATTTGCTTGTTAAACAATCGAATATTGTATGATTGATACATAATTTGGTTGATTGTATGATTGTTACACACAATTAGAACGATTTGGTAGAAATATCACATTTTTAATAACTGATAAAAATCAAATTCGTTTTTTTCTTCAATTCTTTAATCTCAAAACTACAAAGGGGCTTAGTTTTAAGGAGACGCTCAAGTAGGACAAAGAACATGTAGGACACAGGACATGTAGGACACAGGACATGTAGGACACAGGACATGTAGGACACAGGACATGTAGGACACAGGACATGTAGGACACAGAGCTCAGGGTATGGTTAACCTCATAGAGCTCAGGGTACATTTAAGCTCATAAAGCTTAACCATATATAGAGGTCCGCACATTCCGTGCTATTTATTCCATCACTAGGCGCCACGCACCTTTGGCTGAACGTGTTTTTGAACTTTGACAAAACCTCCAAGAAATCTGGCAGTACATCTGGCTAATTAGGCGTCTTTAGTACCGACTAGCTCAATACAAGAATATCCTGGAACTAAAGCTGACCCATCTGGTGGGGGGGGGGGTGATTCGATCTTCATCCACTCCCTCCCTGGGGCTAAATTTCATTTCCTTCCGGTAGCCATTAGTGCAAACAGGGGGGGGGGGGGGGTACGTGGAGTAGCAGTGATCTCACTCTACGAGATTCACGTTTACGGTGACGCCACGAGATTCACGTTTACGGTGACGTCAAGAGATTCACGTTTACAGTGACGCCACGAGATTCACGTTTACGGTGACGCCACGAGATTCACGTTTACGGTGACGCCACGAGATTCACGTTTACAGTGACGTCAAGAGATTCACGTTTACAGTGACGCCACGAGATTCACGTTTACGGTGACG